ACGTGACTCATAGAGCAGGGAAAGTTGTGAAGTCAGGCTGGCAAAGAGAGAGAAGGTAGAGGAAAATTAACTTAATGAAATGAGGCTACTTCTCTACTTGTAAATTAGGTTTACAGGGGTGGAACCAAAAATAAATGTGCAAAGTAATAAAAACAAATTAAAGCTACAATATGCAACTTTTTGGGCGACCCAACAAAATTCCCATAGAGATTAATAGTTATAGATCTATCATTGTCACTAAAAGCAAGTCTAAGAAGCAGTACATCTGTTCTATGTGAGCTATTTCTATGCTTCCCGTTTTTACGTTACATTTTTGCTTCTTTTACTTTCGGTTTTGTACACCAGCTTCAAACAGCTGAAAATACCATATTTTTGGTTATTACACTCTACACCAAGTGTCAAACGTATTCCATGAAGGGCTGAGTGTCTGCGGGTATTTGCTCCTCTCCTCTCTTCTTCTTCTTCTTCTTCTTCTTCTTCTTCAGTGGGGTTTATCGGCGGTTGGCATCCAACATTATGGTGCATTACCGCCACCTACCGTACTGGAATGTGGGCCAGAGACAGTGAGAAAGTAAATCGTACATGCCAACCCCGTTTCTCTTAAAAAAAGATAGCAAAATATTTGAAACTATATCTAATGACGTTCTGCTCAATATACTCTTCAAACTAATTTCCTGTATCCCCTTCTCCCTAATACTAAATATCATCCTCTCTCTTTCCCTCTGATACTGCCCACACTGTAGCAATACATGCTCCACAGTCTCTATTCCCTGACAAGAATCACACTTTCCTGATGGATGCTTTCCTATCACGTTTAATGTCTTATTCAACTGGCTGTGTCCCACCCTTAATCTTAAAAAATAGCCTCCTCTCTTCTGTCCCTTCCTGCCGTCCTCCCCTCCCCGACATTCCTCTGTACTCGAAATAAATCAAATCAAATCAAATTTTATTGGTCACATGCGCCAAATACAACAGGTGCAGACATTACAGTGAAATGCTTACTTACAGCCCTTAACCAACAGTGCATTTATTTTAAACAAAAAAAGTACAAATAAAACAACAACAAAAAAAGTGTTGAGAAAAAAAAGAGCAGAAGTAAAATAAAGTGACAGTAGGGAGGCTATATATACAGGGGGGTACCGTTGCAGAGTCAATGTGCGGGGGCACCGGCTAGTTGAGGTAGTTGAGGTAATATGTACATGTGGGTAGAGTTAAAGTGACTATGCATAAATACTTAACAGAGTAGCAGCAGCGTAAAAAGGATGGGGTGGGGGGGCAGTGCAAATAGTCCGGGTAGCCATGATTAGCTGTTCAGGAGTCTTATGGCTTGGGGGTAGAAGCTGTTGAGAAGTCTTTTGGACCTAGACTTGGCACCCCGGTACCGCTTGCCGTGCGGTAGCAGAGAGAACAGTCTATGACTAGGGTGGCTGGAGTCTTTGACAATTTTGAGGGCCTTCCTCTGACACCGCCTGGTATAGAGGTCCTGGATGGCAGGAAGCTTTGCCCCAGTGATGTACTGGGCCGTACGCACTACCCTCTGTAGTGCCTTGCGGTCGGAGGCCAAGCAGTTGCCATACCAGGCGGTGATGCAACCAGTCAGGATGCTCTCGATGGTGCAGCTGTAGAATTTTTTGAGGATCTGAGGACCCATGCCAAATCTTTTTAGTCTCCTGAGGGGGAATAGGCTTTGTCGTGCCCTCTTCACGACTGTCTTGGTGTGTTTGGACCATGATCGTTCGTTGGTGATGTGGACACCAAGGAACTTGAAGCTCTCAACCTGTTCCACTACAGCCCCGTCGATGAGAATGGGGGCGTGCTCAGTCCTCTTTTTTTTCCTGTAGTCCACAATCATCTCCTTTGTCTTGGTCACGTTGAGGGAGAGGTTGTTGTCCTGGCACCACCCGGCCAGATCTCTGACCTCCTCCCTATAGGCTGTCTCATCGTTGTCGGTGATCAGGCCTACCACTGTTGTGTCGTCGGCAAACATCTCTGCACCATCACTGTACATATCAGTCTTTTTGCCTCTGCCTTGCTCATTGACACTTCAACATCAACATCCCCACTACTAAGTGCTTGTTTAGCCTGTTCATCGACAGCCTCGTTCCCCTCCACGCCGACATGGGCTGGAACCCAAGTAAATCTTATCTGAATACCCATCTGTTTAATCCTGCCATGGGTTTGTAACACCTCATAAAGCAGGTCTTGTCTGCTACATGAGCTAAAAGACTGGAGGCTCATTAACACTGCATTTGAGTCAGAGCAAATAACTATCCTATCTGGCTTAACTTCCTCCACCCACTGCAAGGCCAACAGTATGGCCATCAGCTCCGCCGTATATACAGCCAAATTATCTGTAATAATTTTCCTGACTTCCACCCCACACTCCTGCAGTACAAATGCTGATCCAGTACGTCCTGGCCTTGGATCTTTTGAACCATCAGTGTAAATGGCCACAAAATCCTGATACAGTTTCCAGACGTCTCTTAAAGCAATCAGCTGGATCAACCCCCTCCCTATATTTCTGTAGTCTCTCCAACACTTCTAGATCAACTACTGGAGGCGGGAGTAGCCATGGTGGATTTACAGGAATAACTACCGTTGGACTAAACTCCCTTCCATACAGTCCCATCTCCTTCGCCTGGGTATTACTCAACCCACCCAAAGCTCGTGTACGGTCTTCACTCATGTTCCCAGCATGCCTGTAAAATCCCTTTCGCAGGATGAGACACCCCATGTCCTTGTAGGTTGACCCAATAATTAATTGCCAGCTGCTGTCTCCTAATCTGCAACGGCATATCCCCCATCTCCACCTGTAATACAGCCACTGGAGACGTCCGAAACGCCAATTGCTCCTCTCTTGTACTTGATTGATGAATTAAGGTCACTAATTAGTAAAGAACTCCCCTCACCTGGTTGTCTAGGTCTTAATTGAAAGGAAAAACCAGAAAACACGCAGACAAGACCCTTAATGGAATGAGTTTGACGCCCCTGCTGTATACTATACTCACATAAACTGAAATTAGGTTAACATTTACATCATTTAGCAGACGCTCTTATCCAGAGCCACTTACAATTAGTGAGTGCATACATTTTCATACTGGTCCCCCGTTGGAAACGAACCCATAACGCTGGCATTGCAAACGCCATGCTCTACCAACTGAGCAACACGGGACTACTGAGCGACAATAACTACTAGAATTTTAGCAACCAGGAAATGGCACAGTGATTTCTGCATAGTGTATCTTTAATAATAATAAATAAGTTAGTAGTGCAAGACATTTTATAGACAAAAATATAAGTAGCATATTGTTTTTAAAAGTGTGCATGCGCTTCTCTTCCGATAAAACAGAAGCTGCTTCAAACGGGGTGTGGCATATTTCAAAACTCTTCCGCAAAAGACTCCGGTAGGATCCACATGACTATCCTCGATGAAAGGTGGCTATCGAGGAGGGGAGGACACTCTTCCTTTCACATGCCTATAAATGGACACTCTCCTCGACCACTCATCGGTTTCCGTGTCACGGAGGAGAGAGGATTGACAGTGGAGGACTGACTTTTTTTCAAATGAGAAAAGGCCCAGAAAGTCGACCGAGCCTTGAAACTGCCCTAGTCTGTAGCCTAGTAGAGATTTGCCAATTGGCTCCAGTCCTGCCTGTGTTGTATATAATTTCATAAACCCACTATCTGCAAATTGGGGTGATTTATGATAATCTGCGCAGCACCTTGGGAGCGTTCCAGGTCATAATATTCTAGTTGCGCTGCGCATTTTAGACGATTGCATTAATGAGTGGCCCCAGCAACATTCCAGTCCTTGTGTGAAATCTGACTTTAAAAAGACGACCTGGAACGCTACCCTTAGAACAAGTAACAGCATACGAAACAACCTCGTTCACAACCTCCCAGGCTCCTTCTGAGGCTGTGTAGGGAAAAAATAAGGTTGGTTTTTATTAGTTTAATTTTCTTTTTGATAGTTTGGATGAATATTTTTACACCGCATTTTCCCTTTTTAGGGATCTGTATTATCCAGCCAGACAGCAGGTGGCGACATACACATCCAATTGTTGCAAATGCCATTATACCAGAGAAGAAGAAGAACATCGCCAAAGAATACGCAGTTAATTAGGGGTTACGCTGCTTTGTTCATTCACTACATGGGCTTGCAATACAATAATATAAAATATTAGCACTGTATATTTTGCCGTCGTGTATAGGTGAGTGCAAATATTAGCATGTAATACATCTGCATTTTATTCAATGTTGATTCAAATAAATTGTTCAGCTAAATAACTTACTGTAAAATATATTTTTTGTCGGAGTGCATTAGTTTAATGCCGTCGACAATAGCCTAATACTCTAAGCCAATATTAAGTGAAAAGTATCAGCGTCACAGGTCGGGTGAAATTAGCAGGGCAACATTCTAAAGATAGACTTTTAGCACCCCCTTGTGTAGTTTATTGATGGTGAACAGTGTTTGCTGGCTCGGTAATTGTGGGGAGTGGGGGTGAATGACGAGTGTAATCTTCCACTGATTGTATGCTAGTCCACTAGCTCTGTGGACTAAGTCACCTTTGTTGTGTAGTGATGTTTTTCAATAAACTCCACTGTCGAAACGGAGAGCAGCGATTAAACAATGTGTCATGGGCCATGAATCATGGGCAATCCTATTTTTGTTTTCTGTTGCCTAGTTGTAAAATTATGCAATGGTTTTCTGTAGGCTAGTTGTAAGATTATGCAATGGTCATCAGGCACTAGATTAATTGTTGGAATACCGTACTGTTAGCCTATGTTGTATTGTACAACGAATTTTCTGTCCACTTTCTAACATCTATTATGTCTAACACATATTCAACTATGTTAAAATATGTCTAACAAATCTTTCATAGATAATAAAGTAGGCATTATTTTGAAGGATACACGTGAAATTTAATTAGAACTAGCTATACAGTAAAACTCTGACCCAGTGGGTGTGTCTCTACAGCTGTCTTGTCCTTCCTCAGAACATGCACCTCAGTATCCTACTGAGTGCCCTTCTCAGCATCCATGTCTCTTTGGGTAAGTTGGGCTTTTTTGCCATTTTACTATTATAGCTTTTGCGTCAAGTTCAAGATGGTGGTTCAACCTGTGATTACTGTACAGTAGTATTATGTTGGAAGAATTTGATTCCCATCTCTCTCTCTCCCTCTAGCTTTCTCTTTGTCCAGTATCGTTGTGGTTGTTTTTCAATTCACGTAAAGTCCCGCATGGATTTGTAAAAATGCAAAACATTTCTGTTGATCATTTCTGACCATGTACTTTTGCCCCTCCCATCAATGTGTAATTCTTCCTCCCTCTATTTGTCCCTCTCTTTTTCAGGATGGAATGAAGACTTCCAGATAGTGTGTTCTGGACGAGAGTTCCGCCTGCCGGTCTACTCAGGGTCAAGGATCGTGACCTTTACCCCCAGCTACCCTCCAGGACCTAGAAGAGTGCTACTGGAGAACAACAATGTAGGTACAGTAGCGTGTGTACAGCATGTGTACAGTGTGTTCCTGTATGCTAAGCATTGCTATTGTGTCTTGTAGTTGAAGGACCCGCGGTTTGAGTGGACCAAAGATAGGACATTGCTGTTGAAGGACGTCACACACAGTGACCAGGGGCTCTACTCTATCAAGCTGTCATCTGGATTCACTGATGAGACCGTTCGCCTCACTGTCTCAGGTACAACTCAGCCGCAGGGACTACCTCTCTCGATCTTTCTCTCTATTATTTTCTACTTTATGTCTCTTTCTCTATAATATTGTATAATGATTAATTATATCTGTTGAAATTGATTGTATGACATTTGAAACATTTTATGACTCTCAATATAATCTCTCTTTCGCCCTTTCTCAGAATGTATAAAAACCTTCCGACGGGGCTATGGGGAGACCTTTCAGCACAACATCCCTAAAGATGGCTCCCTGCTGGAGTTCTCTCCCCGGCGCTCCCCCCCTGATTCCCAGCCGGTGGTACTGTGGAACCGGACGGACCTTGAGACCAGTGAGGCGGGCCGGGGGAGGCTGGGGTCGGACGGGAGGGTCTGGGTGGCAGAAAGGGTGACCCAGGCAGACCAGGGAAACTACACCATCAGAGACGAGAATGGGAAAGTAATCTCCCGCAGCAAACTCACTGTCAATGGTGAGCGCTGAAAATATCTAGATTGAGGGTTAAGAGAGCGATGGAGAGAGGGAGATGGGAGGCTAGGAGAGGAGAGAAAGCAGTATTAGTTCTTGGAGCAGTCTGATAAATTGTCCAAACTGACACTTAATGCTTGTATCTATCTGATTCTTTCTTTCATCCTGATGTCCCTCACCATCATCATTCCTCTCCACTCTTTCCCATATTCTCTTTCTCACTCCTCATTATCCCCTGTGTGTGTGCAGGGCACACCTTCAATGTCACCCGCTTCTTCAAGGAGTCTCTAAACCTTCCCCTGTTTCTCCCTGTCCCTCATGTCCACCTCATTTTTACCCCCTCCCTGCACCCGTCCAACCCCTCCAATGTTCCCCTTGACTCCCGGTACTCCCGCCCCGTGCAGCTGATCAGGGACGGGCAGATCGTGGACCAGGACCCCCGGTATCGGGGCCTCATCTCTCTGTGGAGAAACAGGACTGTCAACGAGGTGGTCATCACCAGGCTGAGTGCAAAGCATGATGGGATGTATGAGATTCGAGATCAGGACGGAAACCTGGTGTTGTCTACCGTTCTCCATGTGGTCGGTGAGGGACAGTGATTGTGTGTGTGTCTGTGTGAGCAACAGCTTATCCCTTTACACGATGCAGAGGTCATATCTTTCTAGATCTCCCCTCTCACTTGCTCTTTCTCTCTGATTCAGAGGGGTTGGGTTAAATGCGGAAGACCCATTTAGATTGAATGCATTCAGATGTGCAACTGAATAGGTATCCCCTTTCCCTTCATTTATTTTCTTTCACACTCTGTATCTATGGCTCTACTGATTCTTTGTTTCTCTCTCCAGATAAGACTGCTAGATGGAGAGCGGTCCTCAAGTCTATCAGCGTCCCTTCTGGCATGTTTGTGACTTTGGCTGGTTTCATCCTATTTATGAAGCGCTACCCTAACTGCAGCCTCACTATGATCATCAACGGCCTAAGAGGTCACCACACACCCGCAGCTAACCCGCCAAGAGTCAATGTCCAGGTGACGGCTGTAGAGTGAGAGATGTGTGAGCTTGGAAGGTAGAAGCAATATGGCAGGGTTATTCCAGGGTTTGTGTGTGTGCAATGCTTTGAGCCTGTTGTCATGGTACTATGTTATCCATCCATTTCAACTGTATGTTATCGCATTCTGAAGTGACTGTCAGAGTAAGAATAGAACCAGTCCTTTGCGCCAGTCTGAATTTCCTCAGGCATCAGTTCCTTCCACATTTAAATTGGGTCAAGGGTCACATACAGCTTCTCTGTGGATGGTTTATGTTTGTCTTCCTGTGTGTTCCCCTGTGTCTCTATGCTGACTGAGTATACAAAACATTTAAGAACACCTGCTCTTTCCATGACATACACTACCGGTCAAAAGTTTTAGGACACCTACTCATTCAAGGGTTTTTCTTCATTTTTACTATTTTCTACATTGTAGAATAATAGTGAAGACATCAAAACTATGAAATAACACACATGGAATCATGTAGTAACCAAAAAAGTGTTAAACAAATCAAAATATATTTTATATTTGAGATTCTTCAAATAGCCACCCTTTGCCTTGATGACAGCTTTGCACACTCTTGGCATTCTCTCAACCAGCTTCACCTGGAATGCTTTTCCAACAGTCCTGAAGGAGTTCCCACATATGCTGAGCACTTGTTGGCTGCTTTTCCTTCACTCTGCGGTCCCACTCATCCCAAACCATCTCAATTTGGTTGAAGTCGGGGGATTGTGGAGGCCAGGTCATCTGATGCAGCACTCCATCACACTCCTTTGTAAAATAGCCCTTACACAGCCTGGAGGTGTGTTGGGTCATTGTCCTGTTGAAAAACAAATGGTAGTCCCACTAAGCCCAAACTAGATGGGATGGCGTATCGCTGCAGAATGCTGTGGTAGCCATGCTGGTTAAGTGTGCCTTGAATTCTAAATAAATCAGACAGTGTCACCAGCAAAGCACCCCCACACCATAACACCACCTCCTCCATGCGTTACGGTGGGAAATACACATGCGGAGATCATCCGTTCACCCACACCGCGTCTCACAAAGACATGGCAGTTGGAACCAAAAATCTCCAATTTGGACTACAGACCAAAGGACAAATTTCCACCGGTCTAATCTCCATTGCTCGTGTTTCCTATTTTGTTGCATTACAACCTGTAATTTAAATGGATTTTTGTTTGGATTTCATGTAATGGACATACACAAAATAGTCCAAATTGGTGAAGTGAAATGAAAAAAAATACAGTCGGGGGGGGAAAAGTATTTAGTCAGCCACCAATTGTGCAAGTTCTCCCACTTAAAAAGATGAGAGGCCTGTAATTTTCATCATAGGTACACGTCAACTATGACAGACAAAATGAGAAAAAAATTTCCAGAGAATCACATTGTAGGATTTTTTATGAATTTATTTGCAAATTATGGTGGAAAATAAGTATTTGGTCAATAACAAAAGTTTCTCAATACTTTGTTATATACCCTTTGTTGGCAATGATACAGGTCAAATGTTTTCTGTAAGTCTTCACGAGGTTTTCACACACTGTTGCTGGTATTTTGGCCCATTCCTCCATGCAGATCTCCTCTAGAGCAGTGATGTTTTGGGGCTGTCGCTGGGCAACACGGACTTTCAACTCCCTCCAAAGATTTTCTATGGGGTTGAGATCTGGAGACTGGCTAGGCCACTCCAGGACCTTGAAATGCTTCTTATGAAGCCACTCCTTCGTTGCCCGGGCGATGTGTTTGGGATCATTGTCATGCTGAAAGACCCAGCCACGTTTCATCTTCAATGCCCTTGCTGATGGAAGGAGGTTTTCACTCAAAATCTCACGATACATGGCCCCATTCATTCTTTCCTTTACACAGATCAGTCGTCCTGGTCCCTTTGCAGAAAAACAGCCCCAAAGCATGATGTTTCCACCCCCATGCTTCACAGTAGGTATGGTGTTCTTTGGATGCAACTCAGCATTCTTTGTCCTCCAAACACGACGAGTTGAGTTTTTACCAAAAAGTTCTATTTTGGTTTCATCTGACCATATGACATTCTCCCAATCATCTTCTGGATCATCCAAATGCACTCTAGCAAACTTCAGACGGGCCTGGACATGTACTGGCTTAAGCAGGGGGACACGTCTGGCACTGCAGGATTTGAGTCCCTGGCGGCGTAGTGTGTTACTGATGGTAGGCTTTGTTACTTTGGTCCCAGCTCTCTGCAGGTCATTCACTAGGTCACCCCGTGTGGTTCTGGGATTTTTGCTCACCGTTCTTGTGATCATTTTGACCCCACGGGGTGAGATCTTGCGTGGAGCCCCAGATCGAGGGAGATTATCAGTGGTCTTGTATGTCTTCCATTTCCTAATAATTGCTCCCACAGTTGATTTCTTCAAACCAAGCTGCTTACCTATTGCAGATTCAGTCTTCCCAGCCTGGTGAAGGTCTACAATTTTATTTCTGGTGTCCTTTGACAGCTCTTTGGTCTTGGCCATAGTGGAGTTTGGAGTGTGACTGTTTGAGGTTGTGGACAGGTGTCTTTTATACTGATAACAAGTTCAAACAGGCCATTAATACAGGTAACGAGTGGAGGACAGAGGAGCCTCTTAAAGAAGAAGTTACAGGTCTGTGAGAGCCAGAAATCTTGCTTGTTTGTAGGTGACCAAATACTTATTTTCCACCATAATTTTCAAATAAATTCATTAAAAATCCTACAATGTGATTTTCTGGATTTATTTTTCTCAATTTGTCTGTCATAGTTGACGTGTACCTATGATGAAAATTACAGGCCTCTCTCCTCTTTTTAAGTGGGAGAACTTGCACAATTGGTGGCTGACTAAATACTTTTTTTCCCCACTGTAACTTGTTTCAAAAAAGTATAGAAAATAAATAACGCAAAAGTGGTGCTTGCATATGTATTCACCCCCTTTGCTATGAAGCCCCTAAATAAGATCTGGTGCAACCAATTACCTTCAGAAGTCACATAATTAGTTAAAGTCCACCTGTGTGCAATCTGTGTCACATGGTCTGTCACATGATCTCAGTATATATACACCTGTTCTGAAAGGCCCCAGAGTCTGCATCACCACTAAGCAAGCGGCACCATGAAGACCAAGGAGCTCTCCAAACAGGTCAGGGACAAAGTTGTGGAGAAGTACAGATCAGGGTTGGGTTATAAAAAAATATCAAACTTTGAACATCCCACGGAGCACCATTAAATCCATTATTAAAAGGAGGGCATTCATCAGAGAGGCAACAAAGAGACCAAAGATAACCCTGAAGGAGTTGCAAAGCTCCACAGCGGAGATTGGAGTATCTGTCAATAGGACCACTTTAAGCCGTACACTCCACAGAGCTGGGCTTTACGGAAGAGTGGCCAGAAAAAAGCCATTGCTTAAAGAAAAAAATAAGCAAACATGTTTGGTGTTCGCCAAAAGGCATGTGGGAAAATCCCCAAACATATGGAAGAAGGTATTCTGGTCCTTTTTGGCCATCAAGGAAAACGCTATATCGGGCACAGCTGTTAATTGAAATGCATTCCAGGTGACTACCTCATGAAGCTGGTTGAGAGAGTGCCAAGAGTGTGCAAAGCTGTCATCAAAGCAAAGGGTGGCTATTTGAAGAATCTCAAATATAAAATATATTTTGATTTGTTTAACACTTTTTTTGGTTACAACATCATTCCATATGTGTTATTTCATAGTTTTGATGTAATCACTAATTTTCTACAATGTAGAAAATAGCAAAAATAAAGAAAAACGTTTGACCGGTAGTGTAGATTGACCAGGTGAATCCATGTGAAAGCTATGATCCCTTATTGATGTCACCTGTTAAATCCACTTCAATAAGTGTAGATGAAGGGGAGGAGACAGGTTAAAGAAGGATTTGTAAGCATTGAGACATGCATTGTGTTTGTGTGCCAATCAGAGGGTGAATGGGCAAGACAAAATAATATAGTGCCTTTGAATGGGTTATGGTAGTAGGTGCCAGGCGCACCGGTTTGTGTCAAGAACTGCAATGCTGGGTTTTTCAAGCTCAACCGTTTGGATCAGCATCCCTGTGGAATGCTTTTGACACCTTGTAGAGTCAATGCCCTGTTGAATGAGGCTGTTCTGAGGGAAAAGGGGGGGGTGCAACTCAATATTAGGAAGGTCTTCCTAATGTTTGGTATACTCAGTGTAGTGGTTGTGATATTTACATAGTTGTTTTGTTTGTCGCCTGCAGGACTACAGTCCGCCCAGCCCCCAGCCCTGTGGTTTTTACGGTCATTCACGGCAGATTGCAACGCCAAAAATATGGAGCCCCAGACCTACACATTCGGTAGGTAGATGGTAAAGTTGTAAATGTAGGCTCTTTCTTATGTTTTTCTTTTTACCATTCTTAATTTCTATATTACGTGTGTCTGTTTCAGGGTTACACTCCTGTTGTGGACAGTGCACCACTTGTAGTGAACAGTGCACCACAGCCCTCCCCTGAGCCAGTGAGGACTGGGAGTAAACAGGAGACAGACAGACTTAGAGTTGAGACTGCCACTACTCACACTCCGAGTAGAGAGGTAAATACACACACTGTTATTTCTATATTCTGTCTCACAATAGACAGTTATATTCTATTCTTTATCTTTGACTCTCTCTTCTCAGGAGACTGCTGGCAGCGAGAGGGAGATCTCCTTTTCTGTCGCTGGCGCCTCCGACTGCCTCCACTCATCTGAAGACTGCTTTCAGTTCCAGATCAAGAAAGAGGGAGTCGAGAGATGGAGCAATGCAGAAGACTACTTCTCCACACTTCCACTGGACACGGATACCTCGGAAACTTGCAGCGTCTACATTTCTGACAAACTCAACTTCCTATAGAGCACAGAGAAGAGGAGTGAATGGAGGTAAAGAGAGGGAGGAGATAAAATAGTGGAGGGAGATATATACAGTGGGGGGAAAAAAGTATTTAGTCAGCCACCAATTGTGCAAGTTCTCCCACTTAAAAAGATGAGATAGGCCTGTAATTTTCATCATAGGTACACGTCAACTATGACAGACAAATTGAGGGGGGAAAATCACATTGTAGGATTTTTAATGAATTTATTTGCCAATTATGGTGGAAAATAAGTATTTGGTCACCTACAAACAAGCAAGATTTCTGGCTCTCACAGACCTGTAACTTCTTCTTTAAGAGGCTCCTCTGTCCTCCACTTGTTACCTGTATTAATGGCACCTGTTTGAACTTGTTATCAGTAACAAAGCCTACCATCAGTAACACACTACGCCGCCAGGGACTCAAATCATGCAGTGCCAGACGTGTCCCCCTGCTTAAGCCAGTACATGTCCAGGCCCGTCTGAAGTTTGCTAGAGTGCATTTGGATGATCCAGAAGAGGATTGGGTGAATGTCATATGGTCAGATGAAACCAAAATAGAACTTTTTGGTAAAAACTCAACTCGTCGTGTTTGGAGGACAAAGAATGCTGAGTTGCATCCAAAGAACACCATACGTACTGTGAAGCATGGGGGTGGAAACATCATGCTTTGGGGCTGTTTTTCTGCAAAGGGACCAGGACGACTGATCCGTGTAAAGGAAAGAATGAATGGGGCCATGTATTGTGAGATTGAGTGAAAACCTCCTTCCATCAGCAAGGGCATTGAAGATGAAACGTGGCTGGGTCTTTCAGCATGACAATGATCCCAAACACACCGCCCGGGCAACGAAGGAGTGGCTTCATAAGAAGCATTTCAAGGTCCTGGAGTGGCCTAGCCAGTCTCCAGATCTCAACCCCATAGAAAATCTTTGGAGGGAGTTGAAAGTCCGTGTTGCCCAGCGACAGCCCCAAAACATCACTGCTCTAGAGGAGATCTGCATGGAGGAATGGGCCAAAATACCAGCAACAGTGTGTGAAAACCTTGTGAAGACTTACAGAAAACGTTTGACCTGTGTCATTGCCAACAAAGGGTATATAACAAAGTATTGAGAAACGTTTGTTATTGACCAAATACTTATTTTCCACCATAATTTGCAAATAAATTCATTAAAAATCCTACAATGTGATTTTCTGGATTTTTTTTCTCATTTTGTCTGTCATAGTTGGCGTGTACCTATGATGAAAATTACAGACCTCTCTCATCTTTTTAAGTGGGAGAACTTGCACAATTGGTGGCTGACTAAATACTTTTTCCCCCCACTGTATATGATCATATCTGTTCATGGCTGCTTGTCGCTATAGTGCCTAATACTCAATACTCAAAAAGTGCCTTCCTGATTGAGTATTGAGTATTACTTCATATAATGTATGTATGATCATTTTATGATCATTCTTTTTAAGCATCAAATGAGCAATATCCTGGATTTGGAATATCATTCATTTGTCAAATGTTCCCAGAACTCAACCCAACAATTACTTTGCTGCTACCTATCTTGAACCCTCAGGACGACACATTTTAACCATAGATTGTATATTTGCAGTAATATGTGTGTAAATATATTGTTATGGTAGGCAATGTTAAAGAAGAAATTAGGAATTTGAAGATTTCGTAGTAGATTGATAAGGGAATGGCCTATCAATCTAAAAGCATATCTAACTGCATGTGTTACCTACTATTAATCCAGTGAATTAACACAATAATCACTTTATTTTATTTTATTTTTTACATATTAAGTAAACTTTGAGTGATTTTCTATAAAATGGTGTACATATGAGTATATGACTTATTATTTTCACCAGGTATTTACATTGTCATTGAGGGTTTTATAGAATGGATTATGAACTCTTTATTGGCATCAATCTGAAACTGTGTCAATATGATTTTCATATCATACTTTCCCAAGGTTTTCTTGTGTATTATTAACGTATCATTGGTTTGTGAGTCAAATAATGAGGCATGTTGAAGAAAATAAAACTAGTTTAATGACCGTAGGGGGCGGTGATTTGTATTACTGTTTGAATGAGCTGAAAACAGAACGAAGAAGAGGCCGCGTTGGAGAACTGATACTATCCCAGCATGCAATGTTTTTGAAGCGGCAATCAAACGCCAGCGTGCGAACTTGGAACAAAAATAAAGTAGGCACAATAACGTTAGTTGCCTTTCAGGCAAAACATTTCAAGGTAGTTTGACATCAAAAGTAACACCAACGGTTCATGCTTAGCGGCAGAGGGACGTGCACTTGAAAGATGTCTTTGGTTTGCGCAAGTAAGTTGAACATGCCTCTCGTGAAATGAGCTAGCTAACGTTAGCCATCATTGGCTACCTAGCAGTGTGCAACGCTAGCTAACGTTAGCTAGTAGCTGATTGTTTGTAGTCTGTCACCTTTTAGCAACATGGTATTCATGGTGGCTTACCAGTTGGTTATATTTGTTAACCGTAACAGCTCTAATCTATTCATGAAATGATAATTGTACGTATCCGCTTACTCAGACTGGTCTCATTGACTAGACGTAACATAGTAAACGTAAATCCGGGAACTTCAAATTAGTATAGTATGTTAGTTTTGAAATTCGAATACGCGAACTTATAGCAACCCAAATGTTGCGTGTTCGAATCTCATTACGGACAACTTCAGCATTTTAGCTAGTTAGCAACAACTTACTACTTTTTAGTTACTTTGTAACTACTTAGTATGTTAGCTAACCTTAACCATTTAACCTAACTCCTATCCTTAACCCCTAGAGCTAGCTAACGTTAGCATTAGCCACCTAACTAACTTTAGCTACAACAAATTGGAATTCATAACATATACCCTTTGTAACATTGAACATTTTGCAGATTCGTAACATTGTACGAATTGCAATTCGTAGCATATCATACGAATTGTAATTCGTAACATATATGAAATGGATGATGGACATCCACAAATTAGCACATACCATACGAAACGTAACATATACTAAATTGAGGGTCTCGGATTCACATACAGAATAATACGAAATGCTCTGAGACCACGTTGACTTACTCAACCCCCCTACTCAGTTTCCAATGAGGTCCCGGAGCACCCATGCGTGTCCCCGGTGTCCAACCAGGTGTTCGAGCGCCGACTGATCGAGAAGTTCATCGCGGAGAATGGAGTAGACCCAATGAATGGCCAACCACTGTCCGAGGAGCAACTTATCGATATTAAAGGTAAACAGAGGGTGGGAATAGACAGTCAACGTAATCAGTGTAGGGTCAATCACATCAAACATGTACTGATATTAGTTTTAGCTTAAGAAGGAGAACTGAGTTGGTTCAATGTATTCAAAGATTTTGGAATGGATTTGAATCATTGTTTTTGCTGCTCTTTCTTCTGTTGCCCAGTGTCTCATGCTATCCGACCAAAGGCTGCCTCCGCTACCAGTATCCCTGCCATACTCAAGTCTCTGCAAGATGAGTGGGTGAGTGTCTAGACTGTCTGGAGTTTGTGGTCTGGCTGTGGACCGTGTTAGAGCAGAATACTGTTCCTCAGTCGTATTAAATCTCTCCCTCAATGTCTTCCCTTTCAAGGATGCGGTGATGCTCCACAGTTTCACTCTGAGGCAGCAGCTGCAGACGACTCGCCAGGAGCTCTCTCACGCCCTCTACCAGCATGACGCAGCCTGCAGAGTCATCGCCCGTCTCACCAAGGAGGTCACTGCAGCCAGAGAGGGTAAGAGAGAGCCAAGGTGGCTTTAGTGGGGATCTCTATAGTCTGAAGTGTTTTTCCTCATCTCCTCTCCTTCACTGACCTGTGAAGGCCAATGCTTACTCTGTGCCCATTCTCCCATTCTACAGCACTGGCCACACTCAAGCCCCAAGCCGGATTGGTCGCCCCTCAGGCTATGCCCGCCTCTCAGCCAGCCGCTGGGGTGAGTGATTGGCCTAGATTCTCATCCATCAAACATAATTCCTGTCTATCAGAGACTGAGGATACATGCTGTCTCTCTTTCTCTTTTCTAACTCATCTTCTCTGTGTTGGTTTACCCCTCCCTCTCGCAGGGTGCAGGTGGGGAGCCCATGGAGGTTAGTGAGCAGGTGGGAATGACTCCAGAGATCATCCAGAAGGTAAGAGCTTTTTCCCCCCTTTCCCTCTTTTTATCCCCTGTGATTAGTGTTCTCATTACTCTTGAGACCCTCCCAATATGGGAATGGATTTGTGATTCATTGAATTCTGTTTAAAGTCTATTTTTCGCTCCTCTGCTGCTCTGTTTTCAGCTCCAAGATAAGGCCACCGTCCTTACTACAGAGAGAAAGAAGGTAAGATTTTAATTCAAGAAAATGTCTGTGTCTCATGCGTTGTAGGATTGCAGAGATGGATGATCAAACCACTCAATCTTTTAATACACCCTCTCATTTAGTCCCTTATGTTTGCTCACTCCTCCCTTCTCCCTCCCTAACCAGAGAGGTAAGACCGTGCCAGAGGAGCTGGTCAGGGCTGAGGATCTCAGCAAGTACCGCCAAGTGGCTTCCCACGCTGTGAGTACCACTGTCTCTGTAGGACTGTAATAACCTGTAGTTGGACTGACTGAGCTGCTTAGTACTATCTGAGGTTGCCCTGAACTGTCTGTCCATATAGTGACCATGTTCTTTTGAATCTCTTAGGGTCTTCATAGCGCCAGTGTCCCAGGAATCCTGTGTATGGACCTCTGTCCTTCAGACACCAACAAAGTACTCACTGGTAAGCACCCTCTTCTTTTTTTTGTATCGCTCTCCCCCACTTATTATTTTCTCTCCATCTCTTTTTCTTGCATATCTAAACAATGTAAATGATGACTGTATTCTGTGTTGCCAGGTGGGGCTGATAAGAACGTGGTGGTGTTTGATAAGAAGGAGGAACAGATCATCACCACCCTTAAGGGTCACACCAAGAAGGTCACCTCTGTCATCTACCACCCCTCCCAGGTAACAGACCTGTCCAGACACCTGTCCTGGGTGGAACTTCTACAACATAGGATCTAAAAGAATGAACTATGCCACTTTTCATAGAGGTTATCTGAGCATTGTACATACAGTGAAATTCCAAGTAAAGGAGGAGTTAAAAGATGAGGGCTTGATCTTTGTACCTTGTTGAACATGTGCTGTGTCCTAGTTTGTAACCTGCACTAACTAACTTGCCTGATTTCCTTCCACACACTTTCTTTTATTTATATTTTCTGTCTTTCTTTCCTCTCCAGTCGGTGGTGTTCTCTGCCTCTCCAGACAGCACCATCCGGGTGTGGTCCGTTACTGGGGGCAACTGTGTCCAGGTGGTGCGAGCTCACGAGGCGAGCGTGACTGGGCTGTCACTTCACGCCACCGGAGACTACCTGCTTAGCTCCTCTGAGGACCAGGTCAGTCTCCTGTACTGTTACAACACCCGGGCCCACCATATTGTCACAACACCCGGGCCCACCATATTGTCACAACACCCGGGCCCACCATATTGTCACAACACCCGGGTCACCTGTTCTGTGGAATAGAATGCACCTGCTGTACTGTTGTCAATAGTAAATGATGGCGTCTGTGTTGGTGGATGTGTGTTAACACTCTGTTACTCTCTCTTTCAGTACTGGGCCTTCTCCGACATACAAACTGGCCGAGTCCTTACCAAAGTCACTGATGAGGCTGCTGGTGTTGGTAAGTGTGTTTGTGGTCTGCACATATGAATACGGAAACTGGGTTCCGGTTTTCCCTGTGTCACATATTTATTCCCTCCTCTCCCCAGCTCTTACTTGTGCTCAGTTCCACCCTGACGGTCTGATCTTTGGGACGGGAACTGCCGACTCCCAGATCAAGATCTGGGATCTGAAGGAGCGCACCAACGTGGCCAACTTCCCTGGCCACTCCGGCCCCGTCACCTCCATTGCCTTCTCTGAGAACGGATACTACCTGGCCACAGGTCAGTCTCTCTCCAACCACCGAGCCAATAGAGATTGTACTCTAACTATTTGCACATTGTTACAACACTGTACATAGCCATAATCATGTCTCTATTCTTTTGAAACTGATGTGTAATGTTTACTGTTCATTTCTAATTTGTTTATTTCACTTTCGTTTGATCTATTTCACTTGCTTTGGCAATGTAAACATGTTTTCCATGCCAATAAAGCCCTTTTGAATTGATATACAATCTGTAAAATGTAATCACAAAACAGTGTAAATGATGTTGTATTTCTCATGGATTCCCTGACCTAGTCTCTCTCCCTCTCTGCTCCAGGTGCCCAGGACAGCTCTGTGAAGCTGTGGGATCTGAGGAAACTGAAGAACTTCAAGACCATCGCCCTGGACAACAACTACGAGGTGAGAATGAGAGACCATGCGGAGTCTGCTAGCTACAATATTCCCCATCTCTCGGACAAGAGTAATTAATTTACTGCAATTAACATGGTTATTTCTTGTGGAGTTTTTCAGCGGAACCTTATTCTCGCTCTCTCTCTCGTTCTGTCTCAGGTTAAGTCTCTGGTGTTTGATCAGAGTGGTACATACTTGGCTGTGGGTGGATCTGACATCAGGGTGTACATCTGCAAGCAGTGGTCGGAGGTCCTAAACTTCAGCGGTGAGAAACATTCATAGCCTCTTACATTTATATCCACATTCAACCTTCATCTGACCTTGTTTGCTCACTGTAAACCAGTGATAAAAACAATTCATACATGCGTACACATGGGGAGGAAAAACTGTGTCCTATGGCATGCCTCATCTTACAGTAGTCACCTTCATGTCTGTCTTTTTTTTTTTTTTTTCATCTTTAAACATGTCTTTCTTTCTTCCCTCTTCCTCTTTTTCCAGACCACTCTGGCCTGGTGACCGGTGTGGCGTTTGGAGACAATGCTCAGTTCCTTTCCTCCGCCGGAATGGACAGAAGCCTCAAGTTCTACAGCCTGTAAATTAGTACAGACAGACAGATTGAGGAAGTGAGAGGAGAGAGAGAGGATAGTATTGGGGGCGGTGGTTAGGTCTAATCTAGACCTGTGCGACCAATTTGACTCGGCTGCAGTCTGGTTTGGGGTTTGAGAAATATGGACCGGTGATCAGAGTGTAGTGGGTTGACTGGCCTAGGCAGGAGCTTTTCAGTCACATTTACCAGCAGTTGATGGTCTTAGCATTTTTTAAATTAAATTTGTGTTGATCTGTAGTTATTTAGGATCCCAGGGTGGTTGGAGGAACAGTATTTAGGTTTTCCCTTCATTTATTCTCCTTAAATACCTCCCCAAACCTCTGTTCTACTTTGCTGGTTAGACCAACAGTACTCTTCTGTTGAAATATTATTTTTGTTTGAACTAAGTTTTGTCACATTATTGTATAAGCCAATTCCCTGTATTGATGTGTTTCTTGATTCTTAGCCAGGAGATCCTAACCGCTTCCTTACAGCTGCACTAGGGTCGGACAGCATTCCTGTGTAGATTAAGACACCGCAGAGATTGAACACTGCTAGTTTTAGTATCAGAAGCCACAGCAGCCATTTTGGAATGGATTGGCTGACACTGCCATTCCATAACGGCTGCTGTGGCTTATGCTACCTAGCATGAGGATGAAAAGGACAGTTTTCCGGAAGAAGTAGCAGTTGTTCAATCTTCTCGGTGTAACAGTTGGGATAATGGGACAATTCAGAGTACAATGCATTTCTCATCCCTGGATTGAGGTACGTTTTCCAAGCCATATCTGGCGAAGGCTCCGCAGTGTCTAAATCTACACAGGAATGCTGTCCGACCCTAGTGCAGCTGTAAACAAGCTGGCTACTTAATCACTTATATTCCCTTCAACCCTTTTTCCACCTCAATAAATAGTGATTTATGTAAAAACACCCAGCTATTTGCTTGATCAATGGAATGTACTGTATCTGTCTCAAGTTGTCATTTCAGCCTGTCTGAGGCACCAGTATGACTTTGATCCCAATAAAGACTCGGTGTGCTCTGTTTGTACAGTGCCTTCAGAAAGTATTCACACCCCTTGAGTTTTTCCACATTTTGTTGTTACAGCCTGAATTTAAAATTGTTGTTTTTTTGTCACTGCCCTACACTGGAATTTAGTTTAGTTTTTTATTTACTAATAAATTACACGCTGAAATGTCTTGAGTCCATAAGTATTCAACGACTTTGTTATGGCAAGCCTAAATAAGTTCAGGAGTAAAAATGTGCTTTCCAAGACACAAGTTGCATGGACTCGCTCTGTGTGCAATAATAGTATTTAACATGATTTTTGAATGACTACATCGTCTCTGTACCCCACACATACAATTATCTACAAGGTCCCTCAGTCAAGCAGTGAATTTCAAACAGATTCAACCACAAAGACCAGGGAGGTTTTCCAATGCCTCGCAAAGAATGGCACCTATTGGTAGATGGGTAAAAATGTAAGAAGCAGACCTTGAATATCTCTTTGCATTCAGGCCAAAGAGTTCAATCTTGGTTTCATCAGACCAGAGAATCTAGTCCTTTAGGTGGCTTCTGTCAGAGTGACCCATCGGGTTCTTGGTCACCTCCCTGACCAAGGCCCTTCTCCCCCGATTGCTCAGTTTGGCCGGGCGGCCAGCTCTAGGAAGAGTCTTGGTGGTTCCAAACTTCATCCATTTAAGAATGATGGAGGCCACTGTGTTCTTGGGGACCTCCAATGCTGCAGAAATGTTTTGGTACCCTTCCCCAGATCTGTGCCTCGACACAATCCTGTCTCTGAGATCTACGGACAATTCCTTCGACCTCATGGCTTGGTTCTTGCCCTGACATGCATTGTCTACTGTGGGACCTTAAATAGACAGGAATGTGCCTTTCCAAATCATGTGCAATCAGTTAAATTGACCACAAGTGGACTCCAATCAAGTTGTAGAAACATCTCAAGGATGATCAATGGAAACAAGATGCACCTGAGCTCAATTTCGAGTCTCATATCTGAATACTTATGTAAATAAGGTATTTATGTTTTCTAATTTGTAATACATTTGCAAAAAAATCTAAAAACCATTTTTTGCTTTGTCATTATAGGGTATTGTGTGTAGATTGATGAGGGGGAAATGAATTTTAGAATAAGGTTGTAATGTAACAAAATGTGGAGAAGGGGTCTGAATACTTTCCGAAAGCACTGTACATAGGGCAGCAGCCTCTAAGGTGCAGGGTTGAGTAACTGGATGATAGCCAGCTAGTGACAGTGACTAAGTTCAGGGCAGGGTACTGGGTGGAGGCCAGCTACTGATGGCTATTTAACAGTCTGATGGCCTTGAGATATATCTCCCGAGTGGCGCAGTGGTCTAAGGCACTGCATCCTGGTTCGTATCCAGGCTCTGTCGTAGCTGGCCGCGACCGGGAGACCCATGGGGCGGCACACAATTGGCCCAGCGTCGTCCAGGGTAGGGGAGGGAATGGCCGGCAGGGATGTAGCTCAGTTGGTAGAGCATGGCGTTTGCAACACCAGGGTTGTGGGTTCGATTCCCACGGGGGGCCAGTATGAAAAATAAATAAAAAATAATGTATGCACTCACTAACTGTAAGTCGCTCTGGATAAGAGCATCTGCTAAATGACTCAAATGTAAATATAAGCTGTTTTTCAGTCTCTCGGTCCCAGCTTTGATGCACTTGTACTGACCTCACCTTCTGGATGATAGCGGGGTGAACAGGCCATGGCTCGGATGGTTGATGTCCTTGATGATGTTTTTGGCCTTCCTGTAACATCGGGTGCATTAGGTGTCCTGGAGGGCAAGTAGTGTGCACCCGGTGATGAATTGGGCAGACCCCACCACCCTCTGGACAGCCCAGCGGTTGCGGATGGTGTAGTTGCCGTACCAGGCGGTGATACAGACCGACAGGATGCTCTCAATGGTGCATCTCTAAAAGTTTGTGAAGGTCTTTGGGGCCAAGCCACATTTCTTCAGCTTCCTGAGGTTAAAGAGGCGCTGTTACAGTGAGGGAAGAAAGTATTTGATCCCCTGCTGATTTTGTAAGTTTGCCCACTGACAAAGACATGATCAGTCTATAATTTTAATGGTAGGTTTATTTCAACAGTGAGAGACAGAATAACAACAACAAAAATCCAGAGAAACGCATGTAAAAAATGTTATAAATTGATTTGCATTTTAATGAGGGAAATAAGTATTTGACCCCTCTGCAAAACATGACTTAGTACTTGGTGGCAAAACCCTTGTTGGCAATCACAGAGGTCAGACGTTTCTTGTAGTTGGCCACCAGGTTTGCACACATCTCAGGAGGGATTTTGTCCCACTCCTCTTTGCAGATCTTCTCCAAGTCATTAATGTTTCGAGCCTGACGTTTGGCAACTCGAACCTTCAGCTCCCTCCACAGATTTTCTATGGGATTAAGGTCTGGAGACTGGCTAGGCCACTCCAGGACCTTAATGTGCTTCTTCTTGAGCCACTCCTTTGTTGCCTTGACCGTGTGTTTTGGGTCATTGTCATGCTGGAATACCCATCCACGACCCATTTTCAATGCCCTGGCTGAGGAAAGGAGGTTCTCACCCAAGATTTGACGGTACATGGCGCCGTCCATCGTCCCTTTGATGCTGTGAAGTTGTCCTGTCCCCTTAGCAGAAAAACACCCCCAAAGCATAATGTTTCCACCTCCATGTTTGACGGTGGGGATGGTGTACATGGGGTCATAGGCAGCATTCCTCCTCCTCCAAACACGGCGAGTTGAGTTGATGCCAAAGAGCTCCATTTTGGTCTCATCTGACCACAACACTTTCACCCAGTTCTCCTCTGAATCATTCAGATGTTCATTGGCAAACTTCAGACGGGCCTGTATATGTGCTTTCTTGAGCAGGGGGACCTTGCGGGCGCTGCAGGATTTCAGTCCTTCACGGCGTAGTGTGTTACCAATTGTTTTCTTGGTGACTATGGTCCAAGCTGCCTTGAGATCATTGACAATATCCTCCCGTGTAGTTCTGGGCTGATTCCTCACTGTTCTCATGATCATTGCAACTCCACGAGGTGAGATCTTGCATGGAGCCCCAGGCCGAGGGAGATTGACAGTTATTTTGTGTTTCTTCCATTTGCAAATAATCGCACCAACTGTTGTCTCCTTCTCACCAAGCAGCTTGGCGATGGTCTTGTAGCCCATTCCAGCCTTGTGTAGGTCTACAATCTTGTCCCTGACATCCTTGGAGAGCTCTTTGGTCTTGGCCATGGTGGAGAGTTTGGAATCTGATTGATTGATTGCTTCTGTGGACCGGTGTCTTTTATACAGGTAACAAGCTGAGATTAGGAGCTCTCCCTTTAAGAGCGTGCTCCTAATCTCAGCTTGTTACCTGTATAAAAGACACCTGGGAGCCAGAAATCTTTCTGATTGAGAGGGGGTCATATACTTATTTCCGTCATTAAAATGCAAATACATTTATAACATTTATGACATGCATTTTTCTGGATTTTTTCGTTGTAATTCTGTCTCTCACTGTTCAAATAAACCTACCATTAAAATTATAGACTGATCATTTCTTTGTCAGTGAGCAAACGTACAAAATCAGCAGGGGATCAAATACTTTTTTCCCTCACTGTAGGTATTCCTCTTGTCCAAATGGGATACGGCAGTGTGCAGTGCATTGTCTGTGGATCTATTAGGGTGGTATGCAAATTGAAGTGGGTCTAGGGTGTCAGGTAAGGTGGAGGTGATATGATCCTTAACTAGCCTCTCAAAGCACTTCACGATGACAGAAGTGAGTGCTACTGGGCGATAGTCATTTAGTTTAGTTACCTTTGCTTTCTTGGGTACAGGAACAATGGTGGACATCTTGAAGCAAGTGGGGACAGCAGACTGGGGGTTGAATACTTATCTAGTAAATATATATTAGTGTTTTATTTTTAATTACATAAAATATGTTTTTTTTATTTTTACAAATGTTAGATTTTTTTCTCTAACTTTACAAAAAATGACAAATCCATGTTAATCCCACTTTATAACACAACAACATGTGGAAAAAGTGAAGGGGTGTGAATACTTTTTGAAGGCACTGTACATGTGTCAGTGGTTTTGGAATAGGGCTTTGCTTGAGAAATTTGGCCTGAGATGATAGAGACGTTTTATATTATACTTGACTGCAGGGCAAAAAAGCCTAAATGTTTTTTAAACGTATATTTGTCACCTGTCCACTCCAGACTTATCTCCCCCTATGCAAATAAAGTCTGGGGGGAAGGTTATTTGACTCAACATATCTACTGTCACGTGAGAACAAGTAACGTGACATGAAGCCAGAGAACGGGAAGTGCTGTCTGTACTTCCCCAAGAACAGCGAGGGGTGTAATCATTTGTTCAGACCATAGCAAACGTAAAAAGTTTAGCAACAAAAACGAGAGTTTCTATTGGATGTATTCTGATAGATCCCTCCCCGTTTGCTTTTGTTTAAGAAACGTTTTGCAACAGAATTGGCGCAATGAATATGCTCCAGTACAGTAAGTTTAGAAACTTTGTGATGCCCCTGTGAAAACAGATTTGTTTGCCGCTGTTTGTTGTTCTGTTCTGTCACCTTGAGCCAACTCTCACAAGCGGCCACCACAAAAGTTTTCGATCGAGCGGGACAGATTGAAGGAAACAGGTAAAGTTATAGATTTCCAACGTGCTTTCACAAAGGATAGATTCGTGTGTGGTCGGTCAAGAAGTTGTCTAATTTCAGTTATCGGTATGTTACTATCTACGAAGTTGGACATTCTGTATGCTTGTAGGCTATTTGAGTTGCTGACATTGGAATTATCTAGCCTAATATAAATTCATAGACTTTATATTGTTTCTGTGGTAACTTAGCCTAATGCATGGAAACATTGTGGCCAAACAGGATCAGCTTTTTAGTTTTTTCTGACAAGATAGGGGGCAACGTTTGCCAACTTGGATAGATACAATGTTGCCAACAACAATGTCTCGTGATGACATCTGCAACTCTCCCCGCGAAATTAATACATGTAATTGGATTGAAAGGATTGATGCTGGACGGTTTTGCGCCCTTTTTTGGGTGGTGAGTCTTTTCTTGTAAAGCGAAACCAAATGTATCACTCAAAGATTGTGTAGTCTACTATCTTCGGTCCTTGTACATTTTGGACCATTGTTTCACGAGTTAAAACTGAAAAATCGGCAACGTGAAAACGACCAGTTTTATTTGTTTATTTTTTAATGAAAAAAATGCTTTTTCTTTTGTTATCTAGTTTTTTTGCTTATAAACAAAAAAACGTGATATTTTGATTTTCACAAGTGGGTGGGGTTAAATGTGGAATGCCTGTCATTGGCCAAATGCAAAGCCAGCGCTTCCTGTCCCTTCAAAATAGCAGTTCACCCTTCTAACGTCATTCTATTCATCTACTATCTATTAAGTCATCTATTAATAGCTAGTAATTCATCTATCAATGTCAAGATAGTTATATTTCTCTATTTTGATTTAAGATTATAAGATAGTCACAACAATAATAGGGTTTATTGACCTATTAATGAACTGCTGTTACTGTAAATGGTTAGCTAACTGATATAGCCTAGCTCCTTTGATTAACCATTGGTAATATGAGCATCGTAGACTATATCATTTCAGAAAGAGGGGTGCTGTAGCTTTGCTGGTGTTGCTATTCTGTCTATCGATGGCATCGGCACAGGAAAGGAGGAGAGTGGAGGGGTCAGAGAATGACATTCATCAGAGTGACAATGAAGAGATAGATGGCCGGGTGAGAGATTCAGATTAAGAGCCAAAGGCCTGAGGCTACAGAGATGACCCACAAATGACTGGCCAGGCTACCAGACACACACCTGCAGTGCACTCCTCTCCCACCCCCTTCTCCTGCCTGCCACATACTCACACCCCTAAAATGTAGGGAAGATCTAGTCCTGTATTCGCAAAGTGTCTCAGAGTAGCATTGCTGATCTAGGATTAATGATCAGGTCCCCCTTGTCCATGTAACCAGCAGATGCAGTTGCTATTTTAGCACTGTTCCGCACTGAGGAGGGTCGCCCTCATAGGCTGCACATGAGTTTCAAGTTTGGGGAAGCTAATTTTCATGCACATTTATAATAATAATATAATATGCCATTTAGCAGACGCTTTTATTCAAAGCGACTTAGTCATGCGTGCATACATTTTTACGTATGGGTGGTCCCGGGGATCGAACCCACTACGCTGGCGTTACAAGCGCCGTGCTCTACAGAGGACCATGTAAAGAATTCCATACATCATCGCATTTGCAGACTTATGTAAGATGGCTTCTATTCGTTCTGTGATGAGTAGGCTAATTAGGCTATATAATTTTGGCAATTTAATTCAAGACCCTGTCATCCTGATTGACTCCTCACACCTGTTTGTTGTGCCACAGTGCACAAAAATTATTCTAGAAATATCCAATCTTTTTAACGCTCTCACATACGTAGACCTAAAACTCATCCGTATTGACAATCAGATGTGTGGTTTAATGGATAAAACAATGATTTTGGGGGTTCTTATCAACGTTTCAGAAAAAGGCCTATTTAATTAAGTTGAATAGGATGTAGTAGCCTCTTAAATTCCACTAGGTGGCAGTAATGAGCAGCCATTAATCCTACAGTCTATTGGAACCCTGTTGGTATTTACAGCTTTGAAATGGCAGATGATAAGTAGGAGTGACACACACACAGAGAAACTATTGTATTACCATGCTTTCTTCATGGTTATATTGCATTTTACCCACCCGCCCGCTAGCCGTCAAATCTTTGCTTCCTCTGTCCTTGTTTCCTCCATCGCTCGCCTCTCTTTCAAAGCACATCGGAGGAGGAGGAGGCCCGAGGGGAGGAACCTTCAATCCTATCCCCCAATGTGCTTTGAGAGGGAGGTGAGTAATGAAGGAAACAAGGACAGAGGAAGCAAGGATTTGACAGCTAGTAAAAAAATTTGACCGTGCCTACCTATATCTACCACAATTACCTTGTACCCCTGCACATTCGACTTGGTACTGGTACCCCGTGAAACAAGGACGGAGGAAGCAAGGATTTGACGGCTAGTGGGTGGGTGGGTAAAATGTAATATAACCATAAACAAAGCGTAGTGATACAAAAGTATTAATGAAATTGTTGTGACTGTCTTATAATCTTAAATATAAAATAGAAATTGAGAAATATAACTATCTTGGCATTGATGGATGTATTAATAGCTATTCATAGATTACTTCATATATAATAGATTAATAGAATTAAGTTAGAAGGGTGAACTCCTATTTTGAAGGGACAGGAAGTGTTTGTGTGTATTTGGCTAATGACAGACATTCCACATTTAACCCCACCCACTTGTGAAAATCGAAATATCAAGTGTTTTTTTGTTTATATGCCAAAAACCGGAACAAAATAATATTTTTAATTGGCCAAAATGTACACGGACCATCTTCGTTCAGTCTCTCCCCAGTCTAAATGTCATAGAAAAATCCTCAATATGGTTTAACCTATTTTAGTGACCCACATCAAAGGTGGTGTATTGAGACCTGAGGCCTTTGCACTGACTTGTGGTCAGAATTTCTTTAGTTGTGAAGCGCATCTTGAGTGGAAATTCCACTACGTCGCAATTCATGTGACTTTTTCGGTTAGTCAGAGGGGAAGAATGCACTTTATCCTTCCCTTATCTGCAACTGTCAGCTGTCACCTGATTTTGAAGCAATGGCTGTGTAGGTCAATGGCTCTGGTCTCCTACCTTAAAAGTTTAATGAAAAATAAGTTTGCCCTCTTGCCATGGACTAATACCATTTCTCTCTCTTCTCCTTATCCCTCACTACTTTTATATATTCACTGTTTCTATCCCATCTCCTTTCCATCTCCCTTTCTCAACCTCCCTCTCTCTTCCTCTTTTCTCTCCCCCCTTTTCCCTCTCCCTCTAGGCCTATCTCTAGGTGGCTATGGGTTCTATGTTCCGCAGTGAGGAGGTGTGCCTGGTGCAGATCTTCCTCCAGTCTGGTTCGGCCTACAACTGTGTCAGTGAACTGGGAGAACTGGGCCTGGTCGAGTTCAGAGATGTGGGTTCTGTTCTCCCCTGACCTCGTTTGTCTTATATCTTCACTAAGAATGACTGGCTAAGAAACAGTAGCTGTAACTAATGTCTCTACCATCTTGCTATTAAGTTTGAAATTAGCGACATTAGCTGACGTGTAATAAAGCCTTGTGTGAATAACTTGTGAGTAACTAACTGTGTGTCTGTTGTATCCTTCCCTCTGTGGTGAATCAGTTGAACCCCAACGTCAACTCCTTCCAGAGGAAGTTTGTGGGGGAGGTGAGACGATGTGAGGAACTGGAGAAAACCTTCTGTAAGTACATAGATTTCTCACTATCGGCTCCTAAACCAAGGCCGCTCATTAAAACTATCCTAATACAAGAAAATTATGTTTTACAGTTGTCTCCTATGCATTTGACTTTCTCTCCTTCCATCTCTCCCTGTCTCTTGCTCCATCTCTCTCTCTTTTCATCCTTCTCTTCACTCAGCGTTCCTGGAGCAGGAGATCAATCGGTCTCTGTGGCCCCCCCTCAATGGCCCCCTCCCTCCCCCCTGCCCGACCCCCTCGGCCCCCCAGCCCAGAGAGCTGATCACCATCGAGGAGGAGAGTGAGAGGCTGGCCAGGGAGCTCAAAGAGGTGTCCAGGAACAGAGACAGTCTCAGAGCCCAGATGACCGAGCTCAGCCAATACAAAGGGGTTCTCACGAAGACCCACTCCCTCACCGCCTCACAGGTCAGAACTACACCACCCAGACCCACTCCCCCACCACCTTACAGGTCAGAACTACACCACCCAGACCCACTCCCTCACCACCTCACAGGTCAGAACTACACCACCCAGACCCACTCCCTCACTGCCTCACAGGTCAGAACTACACCACCCAGACTCACTCCCTCACTGCCTCACAGGTCAGAACTACACCACCCAGACTCACTCCCTCACCGCCTCACAGGTCAGAACTACACCACCCAGACCCACTCCCCCACCACCTTACAGGTCAGAACTACACCACCCAGACCCACTCCCTCACCACCTCACAGGTCAGAACTACACCACCCAGACCCACTCCCTCACTGCCTCACAGGTCAGAACTATTCCACCCAGACTCACTCCCTCACTGCCTCACAGGTCAGAACTACACCACCCAGACTCACTCCCCCACCACCTTACAGGTCAGAACTACACCACCCAGACCCACTCCCTCACCACCTCACAGGTCAGAACTACACCACCCAGACCCACTCCCTCACTGCCTCACAGGTCAGAACTATTCCACCCAGACTCACTCCCTCACTGCCTCACAGGTCAGAACTACACCACCCAGACTCACTCCCTCACCGCCTCACAGGTCAGAACTACACCACCCAGACTCACTCCCTCACCACCTCACAGGTCAGAACTACACCACCCAGACTCAATCCCTCACCACCTCACAGGTCAGAACTACATCACCCAGACCCACTCCCTCAGAGAACTACAACTACTGTTTGGATATATATTATGTATTAAAGTGAAGAACTACAATCTCCATAACTCTTTTCATTGTTCCCTATCACAGGGTCCGCCTCCTCCACTGGAAACAGTAGGCATTGTGGAGCCTAACCGACAGGATGTCCACCTCAGGTAAACCTAATTCGTCAAAGCGATTGCCAGTGTCCTTCCACGTAATTTTTTTTACATTGGCTCTGGACAATGACTGATTTGCATTTTCCAGTTGGTCATCTTACTCTTGCCAACTTACCTCGTTTTTTATTTATCTCATCCCTCTTCTGCAGTTTTGTGGCCGGTGTGGTCCACCCCTGGAAAGTCCCTTCGTTCGAGCGGTTGCTATGGCGAGCATGCCGTGGTTACATCATCGTGGACTTCAGAGAGATGGAGGAGCAACTAGAGCATCCTGACACGGTGAAGAGCGGGAGAGAGGAGGAGGAAGAAAGGAGGAGTTGCGCTATACTAAAAGTAGAGTAGCAAATAAGATGGTCAGTGAGTCAACGCTTCTAATATGTGATGTAATTGCAGGGGGAGATGCAGTGGACAGTCTTCCTCATATCCTACTGGGGAGATCAGATCGGACAGAAGGTCAAGAAGATCTGTGATTGGTGAGTAAACCTGTCCACTTCTCCTTGCGTTGTGATATTTTAACACATTACGGTGGTCCATGTTTATGCTTGTTTAATGACCCTTGTCTTTATTGCACCTCCTTAATAACTTGCATTCCCAGCTTCCACACACATACGTTTGCGTACCCCGACAGCCCCACGGAGAGAGAGGAGATTCTCCAGGGACTGCAGGGCAGAATTGAAGACATCAAATCTGTAAGTCCGACTACCACTGTATAAAACACATTCACCTTCATCTTTGTTGCCGTATCACTAACTTCAATAAGAATCACATTGGGAACAGCAAACCGTGAGCAAACATTTACGTTCTTTAAAGTTGCCTCACACTCCATCTCTAAACCACCCCTTCTCCTCCTCCCCTCCCCAGGTCCTCTCCCAGACAGAGCACTACCTCCAGCAGCTGTTGGTGCGTGCTGTAGCAGTGCTGCCCCAGTGGAAGGTGCGGGTCCAGAAGTGTAAGGCTGTCCAGGCCGTGCTGAACCTCTGCAGCCCCTCCGTCACCGACAAGTGTCTGATCGCTGAGGCCTGGTGTCCCGTCAGCAAGCTGCCTGAACTACAGAGTGCCCTGAGAGAGGGAGGGGTGAGAGGGGGAAAGAAAGAGGGAGGGGGAGATGCAGAAGAAGGGAGGAAGGAAAGATTGTGTGAGATTGAGTTACGCAGCAAGATGCGAGGCAAGGGAGAGTTAGTTGTCTTTGGTCATGCTGTTTAAACTTAGGAATGGATGTAATTTTTCAAGCTACCCCAAAAGTGTACGACTTTAAGCACCTTCATCTTCTCTCTGGCTCTCCCCCTATCAGAGGAAGAGTGGCAGCGGGGTGGACTCGTTCTACAACCGCCTCCCCTGCTCCACCCCTCCTCCTACCCTGTTCCCTACCAACTCCTTCACGGCCGGCTTCCAGAGCATCGTAGAGGCCTATGGAGTGGCCAGTTACCGCGAGGTCAACCCAGGTATCACTCAATCAATACATTTATCACTTCAAACCGCTACCCGTCCAACAGACCAACCCAGGGAAGAACCACCTCTAGTATATGTAAATTATCCAAAATATTATCTCTCATTCTCTCGCTCAACCCTCTCTCATTCTCTGCTCCCACCTGTCTCTCCATAGCCGTGTACACCATCATCACGTTCCCCTTCCTGTTTGCGGTGATGTTTGGGGACGTGGGTCACGGCCTGCTGATGTTCCTGGCTGCCCTCTGGATGGTCCTGGAGGAGAAGGACCCCAAACTCAGGAACAACACCAATGAGGTTACACACACACACACACATCACACCCTTCCATACACACGCTTTAAATTGAGAGACTGACAATTATACTGATTCAGAGGAACAGTCCTAATATAATGTCTCTGTGTGTGGTTTAGATCTGGAGGATGATGTTTGGAGGGCGCTATCTGATCCTGTTGATGGGACTGTTCTCTATCTACACTGGGGCCATCTACAATGAGTGTTTCAGCAGAGGACTCAGCCCCTTCAGCTCCGGCTGGCACGTACGAGCCATGTTCGAGGAAGGAGTGTGGAAGTAAGGATACGCCCATGCCCATCACTCACATCTGCATAACAGCGCCACAATCCTTTTTCTGATTGTCCTGTATGTTTAAAATATCTGAGTTCTGTATCTCTCTTTGTCTCTCTCTCGCTCTCTCTCTCAGACCAACAACTCTTAAAGAGAACAACTTCCTGTCCCTGGACCCTAACATCACTGGTGTTTTTACCGGACCCTATCCTTTTGGCATCGACCCGGTATGGAAATGCACCTCACACTGCCTCCATCTTTCTCTCACTCTCCATCTCTCTCTTCCTCATCTCTCTCTTCCTCATCTCTCTTCCTCATCTCTCTTCCTCATCTCTCTCTTCCTCTTCTCTCTCTTCCTCTTCTCTCTCTCTCTCTGTCTATTCTCCTCGTGATTGTTCCCATGACTCAGTTATGACTAACTGTGCTGTGTGGTCCTCAGATCTGGGGTCTGTCCAACAACCACCTGACATTCCTCAACTCCTACAAGATGAAGATGTCCGTCATCATCGGGGTCATCCACATGACCTTCGGAGTCTGTCTGTCCTTCTTCAACTACAAGTGAGGGAACATTGCGATAGTGTGTGTGTATATATATATATATATATATATGGAACTGCAAGGGACTATCGCTGTAATCTAATAATTTTCACACCATCCCTCTCCTGCTATCCCTATTCAATTCCCTACTCTCTCTCTACTCAAACCAATACCTCTGCCCATGCCTTCCTTTCTCTTCAACCTATGATTCCCTCTACCCATCTCTCTTTCTCTGTTCATCCCTCTCTCTGTCTACCCATCCACTTCTCTCTCTGTTCATCCCTCTCTCTCTCACTACCCATCCTTCTCTCCCCCATCTCTCTCTCCCTCCAGACACTTTAACCAGTTGGGCAGTGTATTCCTGGTACTGATCCCAGAGCTGTTCTTCATGCTGTTTCTGTTTGGTTACCTGGTCTTCATGGTCATCTTCAAGTGGCTGGCCTTTGACACGGCCCACTCTAACTCCGCCCCCAGCATCCTCATCCACTTCATAGACATGTTCCTATTCACCGAGAACAAGGAAAACCCGCCCCTCTACAAAGGACAGGTGTGTTTTGTGGGGAAACCTCCCACTGTATGGTACGGGTACAGTATATGTGTGGTAGGGCATGGAAGGGCACACAACGGGCTCACTCCAAAGTACTTATTTGTTTAAATTAGCTTAATGTTTAAAGTATGCTTAATGTTTAAAGTATGCTTAATGTTTGCTGAATCATTGAAAACATAATCTGTAGGCAAACAATGGTATGGCAGCATGCTCACTCCAAAGTACAACTTGGCACTGTGTGTGTGATGTTCTAACTCCCTCTCTCTCTGCACTGTAGGTGGTGGTGCAGGAGGTCCTGGTGGTGCTGGCGCTGTGTTCAGTTCCAGTCCTACTGCTGGGGAAACCCATCCATCAATACATCACATACAAGATGAACCACCGGCACATGGTGAGCAACTTGTCTCTGGCTCAGCTTTTGCTATGTGTATTGATTTTAGTGTAAATATCTAGGATCATTTTGTTTCTTCTGTATGTGAGTTGGTCTGACGTGATTCTGTGTCCTCCAGGCAAGCGAGAGACGCCCCCTATTAGCTGAGAACAATTCCATCAACGCTCATCAGGGAGAGGTGGAGACAGGAAGTCACAGAGGGGAGGTGGTGAGACGGCGTTATCACAGTGTTACCTATGCTTGCTCCATTTCTGTGTTCGCAGAGGCTGAGCTAGTGACACGACTAACATATTACTCAGTTCGCCAACTTTTCAACCCTTTCCCCCTCTTTATTTATTTATTTATATATACATATATACTACGGTTCAAAAGTTTGGGTTCACTTAGAAATGTCCTTGTTTTGGAAAGAAAAGCAATTTTTTTTTGTCAATTTTAAAATAACATCAAATTGATCAGAAATACAGTGTAGACATTGTTAATGTTGTAAATGGCTATTGTAGCTGGAAACGGCTGATTTTTAATGGAATATCTACAGAGGCCCATTATCAGCAACCATCAGTCCTGTGTAGCCCTTACACAGCCTGGAGGTGTGTTGGGTCATTGTCCTGTTGAAAAACAAATGATAGTCCCACTAAGCGCAAACCAGATGGGATGGCGTATCACTGCAGAATGTTGTGGTAGCCATGCTGGTTAAGTGTGCCTTGAATTCTAAATAAATCACAGACAGTGTCACCAGCAAAACACCATCACACCTCCTCCATGCTTCACGGTGGGAAATACACATGCGGGGATCATCCCTTCACCTACTCTGTGTCTCACAAAGACCAAAAATCTAAAATTTGGACTCATCAGACCAAAGGACAGATTTCCACCAGTCTAATGTCCATTGCTCGTGTTTCTTGGCCCAAGCAAGTCCCTTCTTCTTATTGGTGTCCTTTAGTAGTGGTTTCTTTGCAGCAATTTGACCATGAAGGGCTGATTCACGCAGTCTCCTCTGAACAGTTGATGTTGAGATGTGTCTGTTACTTGAACTCTGTGAAGCATTTATTTGGGCTGCAATCTGAGGTGCAGTTAACTCTAATGAATTTATCCTCTGCAGCAGAGGTAACTCTGGGTTTCCTTTCCTGTGGTGGTCCTTGTGTGAGCCAGTTTCATCATAACGCTTGATGGTTATTGCGACTGCACTTGAAAAAACTTTCTTGAAATGTTCCGGATTGACTGACCTTCATGTCTTAAAGTAATGATGGACTGCCGTTTCTCTTTGCATATTTGAGCTGTTCTTGCCATAATATGGACTTGGTCTTTTACCAAATAGGGCTATCTTCTGTATACCACCCCTACCTTGTCAGAACACAACTGATTGGCTCAAACGCACTAAGAAGGAAAGAAATTCCACAAATTAACTTTTATCAAGGCACACCTGTTAATTGAAATGCATTCCAGGTGACTACCTCATGTTGAGAGAATGCCAAGAGTGTGCAAAGCTGTCATCAAGCCAAAGGGTGGCTACTTTGAAGAATCTCAAATATAAAATATATTTTGATTGATGTCTTCACTATTATTCTACAATGTAGAAAATAGTAAATATAAAGAAAAACCCTGGAATGAGTAGGTGTGTCCAAACTTTTGACTGGTACTGTGTGTGTGTGTGTGTGTATATATATATTATATATTTTTTTTAAGGACATTCTCTCTGTGTCTGTAGGAGTTTGATGCTGCTGATGTGTTCATGCACCAGGCCATCCACACCATAGAGTACTGTCTAGGCTGCATCTCCAACACAGCCTCTTACTTACGACTGTGGGCCCTCAGCCTCGCACACGCACGTGAGTCACACACACACACCCTCGTTCTCCACTGATTTGTAGTGACTCATTACACACAACTCATCTTTTTAAATAGTACTAACTCGCTGTAGCTCCTACTCTGTGTATTCCCTCTCCCCGTCCCTCTCTCCAGAGCTGTCAGAGGTGCTCTGGGTGATGGTGATGCGTATCGCCCTAACCGGGCAAGGCTACGTGGGATCTGTGGTCCTGTTTGTAGTCTTTTCCTTCTTCGCCGTGCTGACAGTCGCCATCCTCCTGGTCATGGAGGGCCTGTCTGCCTTCCTGCATGCCCTGCGTCTGCACTGGTGAGAGATTGGGGGATGGAGGGCGGGAGATGGGTGGTGGTGGTAGGGGGGGGGGGGGGAGACAGAATGAGTGAAGGAGAAAGGGGGAGAGGAGTGTGTGAATAGAGGTTTGGAGAAAATATATGATGTGCAATATTGTCTGTTTGTTCTTTGTCTCTCTCCTAGGGTGGAGTTCCAGAATAAGTTCTACAGTGGAACAGGCTACAAGCTGAACCCTTTCTCCTTCTCATCCCTGATCCACGCCTCGTCCGCTATGTGATCATTTAAACGATCAATGAATTATGATTGCCAAATGATTATGTTAATTAATCAATCAGTCGCTTGCTCTACACCTATCGCTCCCCTACACATTTGAGAATGATTGCTCTCTTTTTTGAAAGCTTGGTGTTTTGTAAAACTTGTTCAATGTCCAAGAATGCATTGAGGCCTTTGCACTGGGAGATTGATGGTTTATGTGCCTGTTTCAGCATGCATGTTGTGTGATCGAAATCAGAATATCTATGTTGTTCCTTCTATGGACTGACCATGTGTTACTTCCAACTTCCAGTAATGTACGTTTAGATAATAATACATTTTTTGTATAATTAACATTCTCTTAGTTTATCATTCTAAGCATGATTTGAAAATGGTTGCAATATCTTCATAGTGTTGTGTGGTTGAATAACTCAGGAAATGGTTGCTATTGACTTTCACACATGATAGTGATCTCAAAGTCGGTAAAGGAAAGGGACACACCAGTTGTCTGAACACATCTGGTCTGAAAGAGAGCCAATGTAGACATGATAGCTGTGCTGCTTTTGCTATTGGTAATGTGAGCGACCTTTTATGGTACTCAACACCTCCAGTTTCTTATGTCATATTTGGACACGGTTAATGATTATGGAAAGGGTAACTTGTCAGCTCATGTATGTCATTCACATTCTGTCTGATATGAGCAGAGAACCATCTGAATGAAGATCAATGTTTTGCCAAATATATAAACTTCAGGAAATGATTTGTGTGCCTTTTGAGGCCATCTAGTTTTCATGTTTGGAATCTGAGACCTTATAGCTGTTCATTAAAGTCACTGAGACTGATCATAGAACACATTCAAGCCTTATAGAACACTGTTAGTCTGCCACATTCTTTGTATCCTGGTTCACTTCATGCTGTCTGTTTGTTTTTACTATCAGTGTGATAAACTCTATGGCTGAAATTAAATGAAAGACAGTTTTTTTCTGACAGTTCTTGTGTGGATGTACGTTTTACTTGGTGTTCCTATTGTAGAAATGAGGCGAGTAGGCCATTTTCTTTTAAATTATGGACATTAACCAATGTTGGTTTCATTAGACTTTATTTAATTATTTAATTCTCACTAACATCTGTAGTAAGTGTTGTGGTGTAAATGCGTGTGAAGCGCAACAGTGCCTCACTGTGGTGAGAGAGGGACACTGAGAACCGGATGTTGTCAAAGATGAAAAAGGAAGTGGTCAATGTAAAGTTTAAAAGATGGCGGCACACATGTCAAGGCGAATGTTTATTGAATAATATCGACAATAATTATATTTTCTCTTTTATGAGTCGCTACAGTGGATGATCAAGTATAGACTTAACTTTATTAATCATATATAACCACATACGGACTGACGAGATGGCAGTGTTGGGTGAATTAAGTCGAAATGTGCGGCTATTACTAGGTCAAATTCAAAGGTGCCAGCTGAGTGGTTCTGCAATCAACCAATATCTCAAATCAGGTAAGAAAATACTGATCTCTGTTGATGCCAAATGTGTTATGTGTAAATCCTAATGTATATGCACATTTATTTTTGATTAGTATGTTCCTAATGCTGCTCTATTCTCCTCCGTACTCTTCTCTTTTTAATCCCCCTCTTCTCTCTCGCGCTCTCTACAGTCCGTTGTATGAGCCAGGCGCCGCCCCAACACGAGCCCACTGTAGATGATATTGAAGCCGTGAACCCGACGTTCATGAACAGAAACCCGCGGAACCTGGAGCAGATGGCTTTAGCGGTGAAGGACAGGGGCTGGAGAACAACCTGGCCCTCTCAAAAGTTCTACCATAGGTGTGTCTACCTCTGTGCCCTTTCATACTTGGACAGATTTACACTTACTTTTATAACCGCTCTTGCCTTTTCCCCTCTTCTCTACCTCTGTCATCTCTTCACACCCTCATCCCTTGCTTCTCCACCTCTCCCCTTCAGGTTGGTGTTCTCGCGGTCCCAGCACCACGTGACAGCGGAGGTGTTTGCCAACGGTGATCCAGTCCCTGTGCTGTCGTGTTCCACCAAAGAGTGGACCCTGAAGCGTGAGCTTGGTTCCACCCGTTGTGTGGCAGCCAGCCAGGTTGTGGGCGAGGTGCTGGCACAGAGGTGTCGTCAGACTGGCATCATTAGGATGGTGTACAGACACATCCCCTGGCAATACCGCTCTGACGCTGTAAGTACAGGCAAGAGGTCGGGCGGATGTGAGACGTTCCACGTTACAGTAGTCCTGACGCAGTACATACAGAGACAGGATACAATTTTGTCCAAAGGACTGGCATCAATTCATCCATGTGTGTATGTGACGACAGGCTTCATGTTGTTTGGCGTGTGTTTGTCGAGGTTGTGTTTAGGGAGATACAGATGTTAATCAACATTTTTTTTTCAGGTTCAGTCGTTTTGGACAGCGATGAAAGAGGGAGGAGTCACTCTCAGTGAACCACAACAGAAATTCATCGGGACCTGACTTTAGGGGCCAAAAGTTTCCATTCTACTAGTATTATAAAAACACTAAAATAACTGTAAAGGCTCATATATCCAATCCAACAAAATATTCTCCCTTGTTTTCTGTTTGTTGTATCGTGTTGACAAGTACACAGAAAACATTTTATACATTATGTAATTCAATAAAAAGGCAGACAAATGGACATGGTTTCAGTATAACCATTTATTAATTCACTCATACAGTATAGCTGTAAACAAATGTGCTGAAAACAGTGGGGGAGATAACACTTAACCAGAACAGAGGACAATGCATCGAGACATCATTGATAACATACGTAATTGATGACAGATACAGGTCATTGATCGATTCGATCGCAGTACAGCAGAGGTTGGCTCAGGCAGTGTCAATGGCATGATGTTGTGGTGGAAACTTGTTTCAATGATGAATATAAAAAAAAAAAAACAGCCAGCTAAAGACTTTAAAAAACATTTGATCGATAAAGAAGTCAGCATGAAGAGTGGGAGGAGCATCCAGTCAACTGCGGAAAGTTCAGAAACAATGCTGAAACTACCTCAATCCTCTCAAGTCCAAGATAGACACACAAAAACCTTACCGTAACCTGACCAACCCCCAAAAAGTCCACTACATGAATAAAATGCACTCTGGTCATAATCAGCAAAGTCAGAGGACATACACACACACACACACACAGCGGAATGCATTCAATGAAAGTAGCTACATACTGCATAATAACATGATCCCATTCAAGCAAGGAACAAGACACAAACCTTTAATCAATATGAAAAAAGCCACCACCTCAGAGAAATAGCAATATACCGTAGATATTATAAATACTTTAAATCAGGGTCTATGTATTCGGGAAATAACTTGGTTATTTGGGTCCCATGTCCAAGGCACTCGTACAGCAAGGCTATTTGTGGAACGACTGTGTGAAATATTAAAAAAGAAATAAAAACATCTCCAATAACTTAAAAGGGATTTAACACCCAATATTTAAAAGAGGGTAGGCGTTTTCTAATTATCCTCAAATCTGTTATCTTTAGATTAAGGCCTACATTCAATCAGTTCAAGCGTTAACCGGCGATAGCAGGCAACCGCTTAGCGGATGTTTTGGCGGTGTTGCAGGTGGAACTGCGTTGGAGCTGTCAAATCAGTGAGCAGCTGCTCTTGCGATCATTGTAACGAAGCCACATCTGCAGTTCAGAATGAGAAAGTGAAGGCTATATAGAAATAATTTTGGTCAAATTGAAAAATCATTAAACTAAATCGTGAGGATTTCTATCAGTTTAATCGAGGTGTAGATTACATCTCAAATTCCAGTGTTCTAACATGTAAACAAGTCTGCATGCGTTTTTTTTTTATGCGACTGCATGCAGCCAATGGCAATGTCCGCTTTAAGTATAATGCCGGGAGCTGCTTGTGGACTTGACAGCTCTTAACGCAGTTCCACCTCCGACACCGTCAAAACATCAGCTACGCGGATGTCTGCTAAAGCGTATTTGATTGAATTGGCCCCTAAAACTCAAGGACAGAGAGTTCATTGGCACAGAGGAACACATTGGCAAACAGTCTGGTGCCCTTGGATTGGTCCTGAATAATAACACAGCTTAAAACAGTCACTCAATATGACTATTTTGAAACCTCTCAGTGAGAAAATTCAAGTTTTGGATAATTGAGCCAGCATGAATTAGCATGCCATTTTCATATACTCTAAAAAGATCTAGCTTGTATGTGCGTTTGTAAAAAAGAAAAAATATATATTTTTTAAGAAAAGGGCACTTAAATAAACTACACAACAACCTGAACTGGCAGCCTCAAATTCAGAGAAGAAAGACAAATCTATTGCATAGATATCATGAAACCGTAGAGGTCATAGGTCATGAGGAGAGAGGGAGGGAACACTACACTCTACATATGCACGTGGTATGATACTGTATCTACTGACATACAGAAGAAAATGTACATACATTCCAACTTCTGTGATCAATTCTATGGACCGTAGGTAAGTCTAACCAGAAATACTAAGCTTTGATCCTACACATATTGGTGTCGTAATACTGCAGTGACATGAAAAACAGTGAGCCATCACTACCAATGGAGAGTAAATGTGTTAGTGAACAGTTTGTGATACATTAAAAGAACCAGAGGAAATATTGTGCAAAAGGAATGATGCTTAAATAATCAAATTATACACAGTGTACAAAACATTGCTCTTTCCATGACAGACTGGCCGGGTGAAAGCTATGCTCCCTTATTGATGTCACCTGTTAAATCCACTTCAATCAGTGTAGATGAAGGGGAGGAGACAGGTTAAAGAAGGATTTTTAAGCCTTGAGACAATGGAGACGTGTTTGTGTGCCATTCAGTGGGTGAATGGGCAAAACAAATTATTTAAGTGCATTTGAATGGGGTAAGGTGCCAGGTAGTAGGTACCAGGCGTACTGGTTTGAGTGTGTCAAGAACTGCAACGCTGCTGGGTTTTTCACACAACAGTTTCCTGTGTGTATCAAGAATGGCCCCACCACCCAAAGGACATCCAGCCAACTTGACACAACTGTGGCGAGCATTCAACTCAACATGGGCCAGCATCCCTGTTGAACGCTTTCGACACCTTGTAGAGTCCATGCCTCGACGAATGAAGGCTGTTCCTAATGTTTTGTACACTGTGTATAACGCCATGATAGTTGGGAGTCTAAAGCCTTGTTCACATTGGCAGTTTGAAGTGACAAAAAATACCAACTATTGCATATCCGATTCGAATCTATTATTTTTCCTGCAGTCTGAACAGCCAAAAAGCACACTGAATCAGATATTTCAAGCCACATTTCAAAACACCTGAAATCAGGTACAAATCTAATTCCTGGCCATGCGACTTGTGTCTGAACAGTCAAATTGGATTTATTTGCCCTCAAGTGGTTTTTAAACTTATTTGGCATATCTTGTTGCTTGCTAGCTACTCTGTTGACAGTTCGACAAGAACATGCTGTAGCTAACGAGCTTGTTAATGGTTTACAAACAAATTAGTGAATGTGCTAGTTGACTGCCTTGGCTAGCCAAAATGGACTCGTTTTGAAAGTTGGATAATCTTATCCTTTGAGGCTTTAAAAGCGTCTTTGAACTATGATTTTGAACATTCAAAGCAACTGGGAAACGTTCATGGCAGGCATTGTTGTCACCTTAGCTTGCTACACCACCAATCGGCCTACACCACTGCACACACACCCATCATTACTACGACAACTAGCTTAGCCATGTAAGCAAATGACTGCTGTCTGAACACACACAAATCCGATTTGGTCACTTGGACACTGGACAGTCAATATTCCAAAACAGATTTGGAAAAACAACACTGATTTGAGCATTAAGGCCTGCAGTGTGAACAAGGCTTAAGTAGTATGATGTATATAAATATCTTTGGGTGATTCTTTCATGTTTATAGCTTGAAAGAAGGCAGAACATTTAATCTCTTCCTATTAGTGTCTACTCTAGGCTTCTCTTTCTCCATTCTCCCCTTCTCCCTCCCTCTACCGCCCTTCCATCATCTTGGTATCTCCTTCCCTGGTCTCAGGTTTGCTTGGCCCCACCCCTTCAAATGTCCTGGGTCCTGATAGGCTGCTTGGCTCAGGTGAAACGTCCACATGGGCCCTCTGATGCATGAGGCCCTTCCGTCCATGACTCCGCCTCCGTTGCCCTGGAGACCGCCGATGACTGTTGGCAATCTACATCAGCGAATAATAAAGGTAACAAAGGGTAAGAAAAACGGTTGCTTTCTCTTCTCTTTCACCTCTTCTCCATCTTTTCCTCCTCTTACCTGTTCATTCCTTAGGTCCTCATCGTCCAGTTCATTGATGGACTGCATGAGAGAGAAGAGGTTCATCCTGCCACTGCGACTGGGGCTCTGACAGGATGCCTAGAGAAGGAGGGTAGAAGGAGGGAGGATATTAGAGATGGATAAACAGGTTGATTTTGACATTGGTTCAATGTAATATAAATGTTAGAGAAGGTTTTGTCATGTCACTTGTAAGAGAGGTTGCCCACCTTGTCACTGTTGTGTACAGTGATGAGGGGATTGGCTGCAGTCGGTTCCGTGGGTGGCGCGTCCGATTCCGTGGGTGGGGCGTCCGGTTCCGTGGGTGGGGCGGCCGGTTCCGTGGGTGGGGAGGCCGGTTCCGTGGATGGGGAGGCCGGTTCCGTGAGCGGGGAATCCGGTTCCATGGGTGAAGCAGCCGGTTCCGTGGGTGGAGCTTCTGGGTCAGTCTCAGACTTGGGGGCAGGCTCTTCAAATACCTAGTCAAGACAGAGATTGAGAGATAAGACTTATGATTGCACCTCAAAGGATTCAAATATAATTTCCACAAAATACAATTAAATCTTGACAATATCATCCTAACTAGGGCTGTTACTGTTACGGTGACGGTCACGTGTGATAACCGCAGTCAAATTCCACGTGACTGTTAAGTCACGGTAACTAGGCTACTCCAAAACTGAGCTCTATCAATGAATGGTGCTGATGGGCGTTAGTAGCCTACCAAACATGCGGATGGTCGTCAAGTCGCTAATGGCCTGGTACTCGGCGCTCTATTGTCCAATCACTCTTTATTATTATTATTTTTTTAATGATTATTGTTCAATCACTCTAACATCAACGCAAATGCAATCGAAAACCACATCAAACACTTCATGATTGAATTTGAATAATATGCCGAGGTTGCAATAGCAGAATACTGCCTTTCTCACGCTAAAAAAAAAACGCCCCCCCCAAAATGTTGCATTCTGAAAACGCAGGTGTAATGACCATGGCATTCAATTTCTTGTTCCAAATTTTTATATTTAAATAGACTGCTATTCTCCGAAACGTCTCATCCATCCTCCAAACCACACCCTCAAACCACACGCGCTCCGAGTGGGTGGGAGAGTAGAGGAAGAGAAATGTGTTGGGATTGCGACATTTCAAATTGCAACTGTAGGGAAAATAATAGTTTTGAAAGCAAATACTGTTGTACTGTTGGAGAGGGAGGGTCTCAGCTTTTTGTATGCGTTACATGTATTTCTCAACTCTCCATATGGACAGTTTGAGCACCATTTTTAACCGAAGTATCTGGTAGGCTATGGCTTTGAGATATACAGTGCATTCGGAAAGTATTCAGACCTTCACTTCTGCATCATTGGGTATCTTGCAAGTTTTTAGGACATTAATTTAACTGTTCAAAGCTAATTTTATTTGTCACATGCTCAAAATACAACAGTGAAATGCTTACATACAAGACCTTAACCAACAATGCAGTTTTAAGAAAATAAATAAACACAATAAAATAACAATAATGAGGCTGTATACAAGGGGTACCGGTACCGAGTCAATGTGCGGGGGTACAGGTTAGTCCAGGTCCTTTCTTAATGTAGGTAGGGGTAAAGTGACTATGCATAGATAATAAACAGAAGGGGGGCGGGGGAGTCAATGCAAATAATCATCTGATTAATTGTTCAGCAGTCTTATGGCTTGGGGGTAGAAGCTGATAAGGAGCCTTTTGGACCTAGACTTGGCGCTCCGGTACCGCTTGCCGTGCGGTAGCAGAGAGAACAGTCTATGACTTGGGTGACTGGAGTCTTTGACACATTTTTGGGCCTTTATTTGGATTTCATGTAATGGACATACACAAAATAGTCCAAATTGGTGAAGTGAAATGAAAAATTCTAAAAATTCTAAAAAATAAATAATGGAAATGTGGTGCGTGCATATGTATTCACCCCTTTTGCTATGAAGCCCCTAAATAAGATCTGGTGCAACCAATTACCTTCAGAAGTCACATAATTAGTTAAATAAAGTCCACCTGTGTGCAATCTAAGTGTCAAATGATCCGTCACATGATCTCAGTATATACAGTTGAAGTCGGAAGTTTACATACACCTTAGCCAAATACATTTAAACTCAGTTTTTCACAATTCCTGACATTTAATCCTAGTAAAAATTGGGTATTAGGATCATTTAGGATCACCACTTTATTTTAAGAATGTGAAATATCAGAATAATAGTAGAGTGATTTATTTCAGCTTTTATTTCTTTCATCACACTCCTAGTGGGTCAGAAGTTTATATATACCCAATTAGTATTTGGTAGCATTGCATTTAAATTGTTTAACTTGGGTCAAACATTTTGGGTAGCCTTCCACAAGCTTCCCACAATAAGTTGGGTGAATTATGGCCCATTCCTCCTGACAGAGCTGGTGTAACTGAGTTAGGTTTGTAGGCCTCCTTGCTCGCACACACTTTTTCAGTTCTGCCCACACATTTTCTATAGGATTGAGGTCAGGGCTTTGTGATGGCCACTCCAATACCTTGACTTTGTTGTCCTTAAGCCATTTTGGCACAACTTTGGAAGTATGCTTGGGGTCATTGTCCATTTGGAAGACCCATTTCCGACCAAGCTTTAACTTCCTGACTGATGTCTTGAGATGTTGCTTCAATTTATCCACATAATTGTCCTTCCTCATGATGCCATCTATTTTGTGAAGTGCACCAGTCCCTCCTGCAGCAAAGCACCCCTACAGCATAATGCTGCCACCCCCGTGCTTCACTGTTTTGGATGGTGTTCTTCGGCTTGCAAGCGACCCCCTTTTTCCTCCAAACATAACGATGGTCATTATGGGCAAACAATTCTATTTTTGTTTCATCAGACCAGAGGACATTTCTCCAAAAAGTACGATCTTTGTCCCCATGTGCAGTTGCAAACTGTAGTCTGGCTTTTTTATGGCGGTTTTGGAACAGTGGCTTCTTCCTTGCTGAGCGGCCTTTCAGGTTATGTCGATATAGGACTTGTTTTACTGTGGATATAGATACTTTTGTACCTGTCCCCTCCGGCATCTTCACAAGGTACTTTGCTGTTGTTCTGGGATTGATTTGCACTTTTCGCGCCAAAGTATGTTCATCTCTAGGAGACAGAACCCGTCTCCTTCCTGAGCGGTATGACTGCTGCGTGGTCCCATGGTGTTTACTTGCGTACTATTGTTTGTACAGATGAATGTGGTACCTTCAGGTGTTTGGAAATGGCTCCCAAGGATGAACCAGACTTGTGGAGGTCTACCATTTTTTTTCTGAGGTCTTGGCTGATTTCTTTTGATTTTCCCATGATGTCAAGCAAAGAGGCACTGAGTTTGAAGGTAGGCCTTGAAATACATCCACAGCTACACCTCCAAAAGTGAAGCATGGTGGTGGCAGCATCATGCTGTGGGGATGTTTTTCCATCAGCAGGGACTGGGAAACTGGTCAGAATTGAAGGAATGATGGATGGCGCTAAATACAGGGAAATTATTGAGGGAAACCTGTTTCAGTCTTCCAGAGATTTGAGACTGGGATGGAGGTTCACCTTCCAGCAGGACAATGACCCTAAGCATACTGCTAAAGCAACACTTGAGTGGTTTAAGGGGAAACATTTAAAATGTCTTGGAATGGCCTAGTCAAAGCCCAGACCTCAATCCAATTGAGAAGCTGTGGTATGACTTAAAGATTGCTGTACACCAGCGGAACCCATCCAACTTGAAGGAGCTGGAGCAGTTTTGGCTTGAAGAATGGGCAACAATCCCAGTGGCTAGATGTGCCAAGCTTATAGACACATACCCCAGCAGTCTTGCAGTTGTAATTGCTGCAAAAGGTGGCTCTACAAAGTATTGACTTGGAAGGGGGGGGGAGAATAGTTATGCACGCTCAAGTTCTGTTTTTTTGTCTTATTTGTTGCATCTTCAAAGTGGTAGGCATGTTGTGTAAATCAAATGATACAAACCCCCCCCAAATCCATTTTAATTCCAGGTTGTAAGGCAACAAAATAGGAAAAATGCCAAGGGGGGTGAATACTTTCGCAAGCCACTGTAGGTCCTGGATGCCAGGAAGCTTGGCCCCAGTGATATACTGGGCTGTATGCACTACCCTTTGTAGCGCCTTACGTCGGATGCCACGCAGTTGCCATACCAGGCAGTGATGCAACCGATCAGGATGCTCTCGATGGTGCAGCTGTAGAACTTTGAGGATATGGGGACCCATACCAAATCTTTTCAGTCTCCTGAGGGGGAAAAGGCGTTGTTGTGCCCTCTTTACGACGTTCTTGGTGTGTTTGGACCATGATAGTTTGTTGGTGATGTGGACACCAAGGAACTTGAAACTCTCGACCCGCTCCACTACAGCCCCGTCGAGGTTAATGGGGGGGCATGTTCGGCCCTCCTTTTCCTGTAGTCCACGATCATCTCCTTTGTCTTGCTCACGTTGAGGGAGAGATTGTTGTCCTGGCACCACACTGCCAGGTCTCTGACTTCTTCCCTATAGGCTGTCTCATCGTTATCGGTGATCAGGCCTACCACCGTTGTGTCGTCAGCAAACTTAATGATGATGGTGTTGGAGTCATGCTTGGCCACGCAGTCGTGGGTGAACAGGGAGTACAGGAGGGGACTAAGCATGCACCCCTGAGGGGCCCCTGTGTTGAGGATCAGCGTGGCAGATGTGTTGTTGCCTAACCTTACCACCTGGGGGCAGCCTGTCAGGAAGTCCAGGATCCAGTTGCAGAGGGAGGTGTTTAGTCCCAGGGTCCTTAGCTTAGTGATGAGCTTTGTGGGCACTATGGTGTTGAACGCTGAGCTGTAGTTAATTAACAGCATTCTCACATAGATGTTCCTTTTGTCCAGGTGGGAAAGGGCAGTGTGGAGTGCGATTGAGTCATCTGTGGATCTGTTGGGGCAGTATACGAATTGGAGTGGTTCTAGGGTTTCCAGGATGATGGTGCTGATATGAGCCATGACCAGCCTTTCAAAGCACTTCATGGCTACTGACGTGAGTGCTACGGGGCGGTAGTCATTTAGGCAGGTTACCTTCGCTTTCTTGGGCACAGGGACTATGGTGGTCTGCTTGAAACATGTAGGTATTGCAGACTCAGTCAGTGAGAGGTTGAAAATGTCAGTGAAGACACTTGCCAGTTAACTAACTACATTAACTGTTAGATTAATATATTATACAGCTAACTAGCAGCATATTACCTAGCTAATGCATTTAGAGATTTCACTTCCTCAGATGACTAATTATCTCAAATCCATCATTTATATATTTTATCAATAAGATGTCCCTACTGTTGGTGCGTGCAAATGCGAGTGCCTCTGTCATTTCAACTGAACATTGTGGTTACATTAATGAAGAATGAAATCAAAGAAATCTAATTCATAATGAATGAATGATGCGTGTCAAGAGCTGGCAATTTCTTTGCATTCGTATTTCATCAACACTGTCGAGTACAAGCATATTAAGACTATAATATCGTTCAGATTAATATAATAATTATTGTATGTGATTATGACATAGGGTAAAGAAAACTACGTTTTAAATAGCACCCTCTTGAACTGAGCCGTATTGTACTGCATTCTAGACCAGAGCAGTAAGTGGAGCCATGTATTAAATGTCTGTTTAGTTAGAACGCAGATCAATTAAAACACAGATTTTTGGAGGGTCTGCATTTTGAAAATGCAGACTTGAAAGCTAACGCGACCCCCTGATCTGAATGATGAGGATAAATGGTGATGGGAGTTAGAGGTCTCGTTCCGAAATGGACCCAGGGCTTTCCCACCAGGACCCGATATGCATGAATACCTTTTAAAACAGAGGCTAATATAATTATCTGGTTGATAAGCTGAAGCAGGTTGGAGCGAAAGTGTTCTCATAAGCCGAGTCATAGCGCAACATTTCTTTAAGCAATCACGTGTGGAAATAGAGTTTTGATGGCCTCTATGAAAAAGAGAAGGATCCCAGCTTTTTTTATTTCTACTAGCCTATTTCTCAACTCCTAATTTTAGGCACACATTGCTTCACTTTACAACGGCGTAGCCTACCTGGCAACTCAGTAAAAGCGTCCTACATTCGCTTTTCGAGTGCACACTGATGGCATGCCCATGCAGCTGATAATGCCAATTTTTTATCAAAACTAATTTCACACATACAGTGCATTCGGAAAGTATTCAGACCCCTTGACTTTTTCAAAATTTTGTTACGTTACAGCCTTATTCTAAAATTGATTAAATTACATTTTTTTCCTCATCAATCTCCACACAATATCACAATGACAAAGCGAAAACAGGTTTTTAGAAATACCTTATTTACATAAGTATTCAGACCCTTTGATATGAGACTCGAAATTGAGCTCAGGTGCATCCTGTTTCCATTGATCATCCTTGAGATGTTTCTACAATTTGATTGGAGTCCACCTGTGGTAAATTAAATTGATTGGACATGATTTGGAAAGGCACACACCTGTCTATAGGTCCCACAGTTGGCAGTGCATGTCAGAGCAAAAACCAAGCCATTAGGTCGAAGGAATTGTCCGTAGAGCTCAGAGACAGGAATGTGTCGACACACAAATCTGGGGAAGGGTACCAAAAACTGTCTGCAGCATTGAAGGTGCCCAAGAACACAGTGGCCTCCATCATTCTTAAATTAAAGAAGTTTGGAACCACCAAGACTCTTCCTAGAGCTGGCCGCCAGGCCAAACTGAGCAATCGGGGAAGTAAGCCCTTGGTCAGGGAGGTGACCAAGAACCTGATGGTCACTCTGATAGAGCTCCAGAGTTCCTCTGTGTAGAAGGGAGAACCTTCCAGAAGGACAACCATCTCTGCAGCACTCCACCAATCAGGACTTTATGGTAGAGTGGCCAGACGGAAGCCACTCCTCAGTAAAAGGCACATTCCAAATCAAATCAAATTTTATTGGTCACATGCGCCGAATACAACAGGTGCAGACATTACGATGAAATGCTTACTTAAAAATAAAAATAAAATAAAAAAAAGTGTTGAGAAAAAAAAGAGCAGAAGTAAAATAAAATAACAGTAGGGAGGCTATATATACAGGGGGGTACCGGTGCAGAGTCAATGTGCGGGGGCACCGGCTAGTTGAAGTAATATGTACATGTGGGTAGAGTTAAAGTGACTATGCATAAATAATTAACAGAGTAGCAGCAGCGTAAAAAGGATGGGGTGGGGGGGCAGTGCAAATAGTCCGGGTAGCCATGATTAGCTGTTCAGGAGTCTTATGGCTTGGGGGTAGAAGCTGTTGAGAAATCTTTTGGACCTAGACTTGGCACTCCGGTACCGCTTGCCGTGCGGTAGCAGAGAAAACAGTCTATGACTAGGGTGGCTGGAGTCTTTGACAATTTTGAGGGCCTTCCTCTGACACCGCCTGGTATAGAGGTCCTGGATGGCAGGAAGCTTGGCCCCAGTGATGTACTGGGCCGTACGCACTACCCTCTGTAGTGCCTTGCGGTCGGAGGCCAAGCAGTTGCCATACCAGGCGGTGATGCAACCAGTCAGGATGCTCTCGATGGTGCAGCTGTAGAATTTTTTGAGGATCTGAGGACCCATGCCGAGTTTGCCAAAACTGGACTCTCAGACCATGAGAAACAAGATTCTCTGGTCTGATGAAACCAAGATTGAACTCTTTGGCCTGAATGCCAAGCGTCACGTCTGGAGGAAACCTGGCACCATACCTACGGTAAAGCATGGTGGTGGCACCATTATGCTGTGGGGATGTTTTTCAGCAGGCAGGGACTGGGAGACTAGTCAAGATCGAGGGAAAGATGAGCGGAGAAAAGTACAGAGGGATCCTTGATGAAAACCTGCTCCAGAGCGCTCAGGACCTCAGACTGGGGTGAAGGTTCACCTTCCAACAGGACAATGACCCTAAGCACACAGCCAAGACAATGCAAGAGTGGCTTCAGGACAAGTCTCTGTATGTCCTTGAGTGGCCCAGCCAGAGCCCGGACTTGAACATGATCTAATATCTCTGGAGAGACCTGAAAATAGCTCTGCAGCGACGCTCCCCATCCAACCTGACAGAGCTTAAGAGGATCTGCAGAGAAGAATGGGAGAAACTCCCCAATTACAGGTGTGCCAAGCTTGTAGTGTCATACCCAAGACTCAAGGCTGTAATCGCTGCCAAAGGTGCTTCAACAAAGTACTTAGTAAAGGGTCTGAATACTTATGTAAATGTAATATTTCCATGATATATATATATATATATATATTTTTTTTTTATACATTTGCTAAAATTTCTAAAAACGTGTTTTTGCCTTTCCATTATGGGGTATTGTGGGTAGATTGATGAGGGAAAACAAAAAAATCGAATCAATTTTAGAATAAGGCTGTAACGTAACAACATTTGGAAAAAGTCAAGGGGTCTGAATACTTTCCGAATGCACTGTATATTTAAGCAATAAGGCCCAAGGGGGTGTGATATATGGCCAATATACCACGGCTAAGGGCTGTTCTTATGTACAACGCAACGCGGAGTGCCTGGACACAGCCCTTAGCCGTGGTATATTGGCCATATATCACAAACCTCCGAGGTGTCTTATTGCTATTATAAACTGGTTACCAACTAATTAGAGCCGTAACAAATAAATGTTTTGTCATACCTGTGGTATACGGTCTGATATACCACCGCTTTCAGCCAATCAGCATTCAGGACTCGAACCACCCAGTTTATAATATTTATTATAGCCCTAATATGTAAAGACAATATTAATTATAGAATAGTCTGATGGGTGAGAATATTATCACTTGTGAATGAGAGACTAATGAACAGCATGTACAGTCTAAGCAAGAAACAGAGCTGTTTCAAACGATAACTTTTTACTCTAAACACAGAATAGGCGCTTCATGTGCGTACTCCCGAGGCAACCGTTTGAGAAAAATATATATTTTATTCAGCTATGTTCACATAGTCTTCTTACTATAAAATCATATAATATAAAATAATGGTACGGGCATTATAAGCATATGAAATTCTGTTCTTCTGAAATACATTTTCTTCATATCATAATGTTTCTTAAGATCTGCCTAAAATAATGGATTTATTGTGATGGTGTATATTAAACAGATTTATTAGACTTGTAGATGTTCCAAAGGCGCACATCAGCGGCTTGTACGTTTCAGAGATGCTAAATGTGTTTATGTTAATTAACGGTCCATTACCGTGAGACTGGCAGTCATTTGCATGACAGTTAATGGCTGACTAAATGTAATGATCGCCACAGACCTAATCCTAACCATAAACATTTAGTATCCTTTACCTCTTTATCTGCCTCATCAACTTCATCTGGACTCTCCATCTCTTCTTCTTCATCATCATCATCCTCATCTTCTTCTTCTTCTTCTTGTCCGTCGCTCTCCTCCTCTTCCTCCTCCTCGTTGCTGCGTGAAGCAGCAGAGCGCTTTCTCTCAATCTTTCTCTGCTCTCGTGACTTCCGCCTCCAGAGAGCACTGTGGCGCTGCTGACTGGAATGGAGGGTACAGTGAACATACAGGTGATATTGGGTTACACACACACACACACACACACACACACACACAGGATAATGAATATGCTGACCTGGCGTTGAGGATGCCGCTGTAGGTGTGGAGCTGTTTCATGAAGCCTTCATTGGGCTGGACGATGGGCCTGCGGTCCCTGACGTAGGACAGAGCCACCTCCAGGGACCAGCGCTGTTGCTTCATGGCGTACGCCACCACCGTGGACCCAGAGCGAGACACGCCCATCTTACAGTGCACCAGCACCGCCTGGCCACTCTGCCTGTATGGGGGGAGAGAGAGGGGTTGTGTCATCATTGTGCGACTAAAATGGAGAGTGTCATCATTGTGCGACTGTCGCTGACTTATCCAGGGGGGGCACAAAGTTACAAAACATTCAAACAGTAAAATATATTTATAGAATATACATAAATCTATGTCAAAGCCACATCGTTACAGTACAATGCAGGGAGAATGCATAGGAGAGAGGGGAGGAGGGTGGGACTACCTGGCTGTGTTGATGAAGGTGTACGTGTTTTTCCAGTGTGACAGCAGGTCTGTAGCCTCCACGTCGTACACCCTGATGTTCATGTAGCTGAAGGATTCTGGGAAGAAGTTATCGATCTCCCGCGTAATGTTCAGGATGTAGCCCACACTGAAACATCATTGGCAGACACTTAGTTACCCAGAAACCACACAACACTTTGGCTTGTTCGTTTGCACACACACCTTATATAAGTCAATAACAGGCACACAAACACAGTAAATGGGCTTACTTGTTTTTCTGTAGCTCCTCAAAGTTGGCAGCATTCCACTCAGACCCCTAAAAGACAGAGATAGAGAGAGAGAGAGAGAGACAGAGACTTATTCACTGGAGAGGAGAGAGGACGCTAAAGGGCCAGAGCTTTCGATTCAACAGCTGTAAACACTAGGCTCTGAAAAGGGAAATTCGAGTCATTTCATATACTATTGATTGCAACACACTTCCTCTGTGGCTCAGTTGATAGAGCATGGCGCCTACCACGCCAGGGTTGTGGGTTCAATTCCCATGGGGGGGACCAGTACAAAAATGTATGAACTCTATGCACTCACTACTGTTAAGTCACTCTGGATAATAGCATCTGCTAAATGACTAAAACGTAAACATTTAAAATGTACTTCCTGTGGTGATCAGCCCAGAGGAGATTTATTTACAACTTAACAACTGGTCCAGTGTCATATACTCTTTACAACCTCCTCATGATTAAGGTTAGGATTAGGGAATCTGATTCCAGATCTGTGGTTAGAGGCTACTGCTGAGTGGCATTGGCCAAAGGTAAAATGTGATATTGTTAAGGGTCTAAGTCAGATGGGACTGACCAGGAACAAGTAGTCAAATATTTTGGAGGGCTTGTCCATCTGCGCCATGGTGACCATCATCTCGTTGTCGATGTACTCCTTGTAGTTCTTCATATCCATGCCTATCCTGGTCTCCAGGGCACTGCGGACCTGGGGACGGAGACAGGAGGAGGATGGCCAACTGATCAACAGCACGACGCCATGTTGTGACTTGGCCGGTTCAAATGGCTTGTGTTACAAGTAAGGTGTCATAGATCCGGACACAGACTCTTCAAGTCATTAATTTAGGTCACAGACTGTAGACAGTAGACTGCCTCTATGTTACCAGACACATTTCATCTACTTCTACTTGTATTTCAGACAGCTATGTCAGCCATTGTTTGTCCGTGACCTTGACAAATATTGGTATTTTTGCATCTTTGTCAATTTTAGTTTGAACGGGGCTTGTTCCAATATATAACATCACATCTTCATCTCCTTCTCTCTGTGGTACCTGTTTGGAGGTGATGTTCTCCAGGTCCTCTGTTCTCATGATGTCTCGGAGTTCCTCTTTGATCTGCCTCTCCACAGACACCCTCTCGGTCGAGCTGCGCAGAGACAGACAGACAGACAGAGTATCACTACCCACATCTCCCCAACACACACACATAGAGACAAACACATGCACACACCTCTGTCCGGCGCTGTCCCTCCTGATTGACTCCAGGCCTGTCATGGCTCCCCACTCGTTGAGACAGAGGCGGTTAGACTCCACATGGCCGTAGTAGTGTTGGGCCCAGTCCAGCCCACAGCCTGGGATCACTGCCCCCTTCACCGCCCGCTCACAGCAGCCATGCAGCGCCTGCAGCACTGACCTGGGGACAGTGGACAGACACATTAGGGTCTACACAGGGGAAGAGGCAAGGCCATGATGGATGAAAGCGTAGAGGTTCTAGGTCATCCTATTACAGTACTGAAAGGGAATATTATGTGTATCGTGTGTGTGTGTGTTTACTGTATGTGTCAAACAGAATAAAACCTACCACTCAGTCTGTATGGAAACAGGCTTGAACAAAACCTACCACATGGTCTGTATGGAAACAGGCTTGAATAAAACCTGCCACATGGTCTGTATGGAAACAGGCTTGAATAAAACCTACCACATGGTCTGTATGGAAACAGGCTTGAATAAAACCTACCACATGGTCTGTATGGAAACAGGCTTGAAGATTCTGGTCTCTTCTGCTGACATGACACTGAACCCACTGAGAAGGTAAGAAAAAAGGAGGGAGATGAGAGAGTGTGTGACAGACAGATGGATGGTGTGTGAAAGAGAACGAGAGAGAGAACACTGTTAGCTGTGTGAAGGTGTGTGCCTGCTGATGGCAGAAACCCAGTCTGTGGGTGTGAGTGTCAGATCAAAGACTGTCTGTAACAAACAGACACACAGCATGTGAGCCCTGTTACTAGGCTTGGCCGAATATACCATTTAACGGGGTATTTAGAAATACAGACGGTATGATTTTCAATACCGATTTTTAAGAAATATACAGTACCAGTCAAAAGTTTGGACACCTACTCATTCCAGGGTTTTTCTTTATTTTGACCATTTTCTACATTGTAGAATAATAGTGAAGATATCAAAACTATGAAATAACACATATGGAATCATGTAGTAACCAAAAAAGTGTTAAACAAATCAAAATATATTTTATATTTGAGATTCTCCAAAGTAGCCACCCTTTGCCTTGATGACAGCTTTGCACACTATTGGCATTCTCTCAACCAGCTTCATGGGGTAGTCACCTGGAATGCATTTCAATTAACAGGTGTGCCTTGTTAAAAGTTAATTTGTGGAATTTCTTTCCTTCTTAACGCATTTGAGCCAATCAGTTGTGTTGTGACAAGGTAGGGTTGGTATACAGAAGATGGCCCTAGTTGGTAAACGACCAAGTCCATATTATGGCAAGAACAGCTCAAATAAGCAAAGAGAAACGACAGTCCATCATTACTTTAAGACATGAAGGTCAGTCAATACAGAACATTTCAAGAACTTTGAAAGTTTCTTCAAGTGTCCCGTGTAGCTCAGTTGGTAGAGCATGGCGTTTGCAACGCCAGGGTTGTGGGTTTGATTCCCACGGGGGGCCAGTATGAAAAAAAAAAATGTATGCACTCACTAACTGTAAGTCGCTCTGGATAAGAGTGTCTGCTAAATGACTAAAATGTAAGTGCAGTCGCAAAAACCATCACGCTCTATGATGAAACTGGCTCTCATGAGGACCGCCACAGGAAAGGAAGACCATGAGTTACCTCTGCTGCAGAGGATAAGTTCATTAGTGACCAGCCTCAGAAATCTGCAATTAACTGCACCTCAGATTGCATCCCAAATAAATGCTTCACAGAGTACAAGTAACAGACCCATCTCAACATCAACTGTTCAGAGGAGACTGCGTGAATCAGGCCTTCATGGTCGAATTGCTGCAAAGAAACCACTACTAAAGGACACCAATAATAAGAAGAGACTTGCTTGGGCCAAGAAACACGAGCAATGGACATTAGACCGGTGGAAATCTGTCCTTTGGTCTGATGAGTTCAAATTGGAGATTTTTGGTTCCAACCGCCGTGTCTTTGTGAGACGCAGAGTAGGTGATCTCTGCATGTGTGGTTCCCACCGTGAAGCATGGAGGAGGAGGTGTGATGGTGTGGGGGTGCTTTGCTGGTGACGCTGTCTGTGATTTATTTAGAATTCGAAGCACACTTAACCAGCATGGCTACCACAGCATTCTGCAGCGATACGCCACCCCATCTGGTTTGTGCTTAGTGGGACTATCATTTGTTTTTCAACAGGACAATGACCCAAAACACACCTCCAGGCGGTGTAAGGGCTATTTGACCAAGAAGGAGAGTGATGGAGTGCTGCATCAGATGACCTGGCCTCGACAATCACCCGACCTTAACCCAATTGAGATGGTTTGGGGTGAGTTGGACCGCAGAGTGAAGGAAAAGCAGCCAACAAGTGCTCAGCATATGTGGGAACTCCTTCAAGACTGTTGGAAAAGCATTCCAGGGGACTACCTCATGAAGCTGGTTGAGAGAATGCCAAGAGTGTGCAAAGCTGTCATCAAGGCAAAGGGTGGCTACTTTGAAGAATGACAAATATAAAATATATTTTGATTTGTTTAACACTTTTTGGGTTACTACATGATTCCATATGTGTTATTTCATAGTTTTAATGTCTTCACTATTATTCTACAATGTAGAAAATAGTAAAAATAAAGAAAAACCCTTGAATGAGTAGGCGTGTCCAAACTTTTGACTGGTACTGTATATAAAAAGTTAAGTATAACTATAAGAAATCTAAGATTCCCGCTCAGGGATTCAGCTATGCATTTGGTTTGCTAACTTGCTAGCTAAGTGTCTAGATGTCAAGATCAAGCTTCTTGGTTACAGCAGAGACATTCAATCCCCTCTTGGATAAAGATCCCTGTTGCCTAAATTGTTTTGTGAGTCAAATATTTGTATCATTATTATAATTACTTTATTGTATGCACTTCCGGTAATACCGTATACCCCAGTATAGTACAGAAACGGGATGAAAATCTGTATAGCGCCCAACCCTACATATTATTTCTACATTACCAGTACACAGAACAGGCAGGGCTACAAAATCAAAACCCTAATGCTGTTTCTGGGGTTTTATTTAGCTCCAGATCTGAACATGTCCTCAAAAGCTCTTTCATACTCCTGGTTAAGATCGGAGGTGGAGTAATCTGATCCTAGATCTGTGGTAAAAGGAAACTTCTCCCTTGAGCCGACACTGCTGCACACCCAGGTCAATGAGCAACACAATCCTGACCACATCCCAGAACAGCCAAAAGCACTTCATAAACTTTACAGTCAACACATTGTTAGCAAACCTTTATAAAGTACTTATGTGGTGAATGCAGATGTTTAAAGTGTTGACATAAGGGGTGACATAGTGACAGAAACAGATGTAATTCAGGGGAATGATCCAAGTACATAAACAGAGAGAGATTACTCATTGGTATTATTATATCTGGCCAGCCTCCAAGATGCCAGGCCAACCGTAGGGCGGCAGGTAGCTTAGTGGGTAAGAGCGTTGTGCCAGTAACCGAAAGGTCGCTGGTTCTAATCCCCGAGCCGACTACGTGAAAAATCTGTCAATGTGCCCTTAAGCAAGGCACTTAACCCTAGTAGCTCTGGATAAGAGCGTCTGCTAAATGACTAAAATGTAAAATGTAGAACAGGCTCAGCTAGCTACAGTGGGGAGAACAAGTATTTGATACACTGCCGATTTTGCAGGTTTTCCTACATACAAAGCATGTAGAGGTCTGTAATTTTTATCATAGGTACACTTCAACTGTGAGAGACGGAATCTAAAACAAAAATCCAGAAAATCACATTGTATGATTTTTAAGTAATTAATTTGCATTTTATTGCATGACATACGTATTTGATCACCTACCAACCAGTAAGAATTCTGGCTCTCACAGACCTGTTAGTTTTTCTTTAAGAAGCCCTCCTGTTCTCCACTCATTACCTGTATTAACTGCACCTGTTTGAACTCGTTACCTGTATAAAAGACACCTGTCCACACACTCAATCAAACAGACTCCAACCTCTCCACAATGGCCAAGACCAGAGAGCTGTGTAAGGACATCAGGGATAAAATTGTAGACCTGCACAAGGCTGGGATGGGCTACAGGACAATAGGCAAGCAGCTTGGTGAGAAGGCAACAACTGTTGGCGCAATTATTAGAAAATGGAAGAAGTTCAAGATGACGGTCAATCACCCTCAGTCTGGGGCTCCAAGCAAGATCTCACCTCGTGGGGCATAAATGATTATGAGGAAGGTGAGGGATCAGCCCAGAACTACACGGCAGGACCTGGTCAATGACCTGAAGAGAGCTGGGACCACAGTCTCAAAGAAAACCATTAGTAACACACTACGCCGTCATGGATTAAAATCCTGCAGCGCACGCAAGGTCCCCCTGCTCAAGCCAGCGCATGTCCAGGCCCGTCTGAAGTTTGCCGATGATCCAGAGGAGGAATGGGAGAAGGTCATGTGGTCTGATGAGACACAAATATAGCTTTTTGGTCTAAACTCCACTCGCCGTGTTTGGAGGAAGAAGAAGGATGAGTACAACCCCAAGAACACCATCCCAACCGTGAAGCATGGAGGTGGAAACATCATTCTTTGGGGATGCTTTTCTGCAAAGGGGACAGGACAACTGCACCGTATTGAGGGGAGGATGGATGGGGCCATGTATCGTGAGATCTTGGCCAACAACCTCCTTCCCTCAGTAAGAGCATTGAAGATGGGTCGTGGCTGGGTCTTCCAGCATGACAACGACCCGAAACACACAGCCAGGGCAACTAAGGAGTGGCTCCGTAAGAAGCATCTCAAGGTCCTGGAGTGGCCTAGCCAGTCTCCAGACCTGAACCCAATAGAAAATCTTTGGAGGGAGCTGAAAGTCCGTATTGCCCAGCGACAGCCCTGAAACCTGAAGGATCTGGAGAAGGTCTGTATGGAGGAGTGGGCCAAAATCCCTGCTGCAGTGTGTGCAAACCTGGTCAAGACCTACAGGAAACGTATGATCTCTGTAATTGCAAACAAAGGTTTCTGTACCAAATATTAAGTTCTGCTTTTCTGATGTATCAAATACTTATGTCATGCAATAAAAAGCAAATTAATTACTTAAAAATCATACAATGTGATTTTCTGGATTTTTGTTTTAGAAAAATTACAGACCTCTACATGCTTTGTAAGTAGGAAAACCTGCAAAATCGGCAGTGTATCAAATACTTGTTCTCCCCACTGTATTTCCTAGTTTCCTCATTTGACTCCTGCACTCAGGAAATCCATCCATCTTTCTCTCTGTTTATAAATGGCAGTGTGTTTTCTCCCACTTCTTACCCATCTCCATCCAGATACACTTGTGTGGCACTCCATATAGGCACAACCATGCCGATAGTACACTGATCACTGAAAGAAACAAAGACAGACTGTTTTCATCCCTCGTTTTGGCAACATTTACTAGATGCATTTTCTATCAACACAAGTCATTCTCTAGTCTAGACCCATCTGATATAACCACAGAAACATGGTAACGGTTACAGCATGGCACACACCTGTCTGTGTCGGGGAAGTCCATGCCCAGGAGAATGCTCTCCTGCTTATTACCGAGGGTGGAGACCACGATCAGATACCTCACTCTGATTGGACTCACTGACTCCAACCTCACCGCCTGCAAGGAGAGGGGGAGGTAGGAGGGAGAGAGGGGGAGAACGGAGGGATAAGGGAAAGGTTAAGCATTATCAGGGCATTTGTGAATGTGTAGGTGGATGTTACTAGTGGATGAGTGCCAGTCTGTGTGAGCCATCACGCCAACTCCTTGTTATGCCAAACATGTTTGGGCTTGACAACGAGCAATGGAGTTGGCAAGAGCACCAACAGATCTGGGACCAGATCTAGGATGTAACATGTTGGTGGCGTATAGGGTGAGATACCATCCTTGCTATAATGTAAGAAGCTCTGAGACCTAGTGAAAAGCATACATGAATGTGACCCGTTAATAGATGCTTTTAACATGACATTACTCAGTGCTCCGGGCATCACGCCTGTTATAGTCATGCTATTGTAACAGAGGTGGTTTGGTGAACCACGTAACAGTGATGAGTAGCCCTGGCTGAAGAGAGACCTGAAGACTTGCATTTTCCCCATACGCTGATGCCCAGGCATTATCTAAGCACTAATACAGTGTTGTGGTGTGCAGACTACAGATGACCCAAGTTTAAACCGTCACACAATGGCGGTCCTATCCATTGTCTGCTTATTTTATACATTCTACCAGTGGGCATGTGACAGTGGACAGGTCTCACCAGTTTGATAGTGTCCTCTGGTCTTAGTAGTGACACCATGGCATGCAGGTGTCTGTGCTGTGTGTCTGAAGCTCCGCCCCCCAGCTTCAGGGGTGAAGGAGAGTGATTGGGCGATGTCTCTTCATGAGGCCCCTCCCTCTCTCCTTCCAAGAGAAGGACGGCCCCCTTGACCAGAGCAAAGCTCTCCCTGTTATGGAGGATTTAATTATTATTCCTGTATTATGAATTACTGTGCAACTGTATATTATGTTATTGTGCAGGAATGATAAAAAATAAAAAAATAAAAACATTAAATATATAAAAAAACATTTTCTCTGAGAGTTCAAACGTCCATATGATCACAATGTACAGATTATCAGAACTGTAGTTATTTTATCCAAACGATATACACTTTTAATTCACAACCAAAAGACAGAAACACAGTAATCTACCTTTTCTGAAGTCTCCCTCTTCTTGGAATGCTTTCATCCTTCAAGAAATTATTTGAAAGATGATTAATAGCCTGAGTGCCAGTCCGTTTGTGCTATCATGCCAACTCCCTGTCAATCCTTGCCATGCCAAACTTTACAATGACCACAATGGAGTTGGCAAGAACACAAACAGATCTGGGACCAGGCTATAAACTCTTTACTGTGAAAATCTACAATCTGATAAATATATCATATTTTGTCACATGTTAAAGCCTGCTGATTACAGAGTGACAAACCTCCTTAATTATAGAGTCATCCCATTGATTATAGGAGAAATCTAAAGTGGCGTGTACTAAAAGAATGAGCAGGATCCCGAGTAAAATGTGCAGCTACAAAGATAGGAGGCAGAGGAAACAACTTCGGAAGTTAATGACCGAGGGACACAGAAAGGAGGGGAGAGAGGGATAAGAAACAGAGGAATAGAAAAGACAAACAGAGAGGGAAAAGAGAGAGAACAGAATGCATGAAGGAGTGGTCGCTGCAGTATCAAGGGTTTGGCGGTGTGAGTGAGTGAAACTTGAGACAGTAACATTACCTGTTATGCAACTGACATGTCTAGACAGACACAAGAAAGAAAAAAAGAGTAGAGGGGTGCTGGAGACGAGGAGGACAGGAGAGGACAGGGGAGGAGCGATGAGGGTTTGAAAGGAGGAGAGAAGGAGGAAAAAAAAGGAATTAACAGTAGTAGAGATTTAAGACTCAATGACAGTAGTATGCGGGGAGACGGAGGAGGGCAAAGTTATGTCCGCCAGCCTGGGGAAGCTGGGAACAGAAAAGTTAAAATGTCGCCTGATGTTTTGGCACACTCGTAACATACCAAAGAGGCCTTGGAAGTAACAACGTTTAAATGAGCCTGTTAAAGTTGCTCTAAAAAGTTTAAAGAGAAGTGAAAGAGAAATACAGAGGGAGTGAGGGAGAAATGATAAGGACATGGGGAGGATGAGTGAGTGTAGCCTATGTTAACATTTGGAACAGTGTCCGTGTGGTGGTATCAAGGGTTAGGCAGCAGGAGTAGATTTGACTACTGTCGTCACCCACAAATACAGATACACGGTGACATCATGTGCCTTGAGCTTAAATCACACCTGATTCAATTAGTCAACTATCACCAAGCCCTTGACTAACTGAATCAGGTGTGCCAGTTCAGGGCTACAACACATATGTGAAATGTTGGGTGGTCCACGAGGAGAGGGTTGGGAAGAACTGATCTATGGCATGTTGTGTCCTCTAGTTATCTACTTTATCTCTGCGGGAAGATGTTTTGGGGTGGGGGTGCTGACATTTTTTGTCAAGGGGGGTTGCAGAGGAAATATTTTGTTGAGGGGTGGGGCACAGGGGTAAGCAATATCTCCCCGCTCTGCTGACAAGTATTTTTCTCCACTCATACAGGAGTAATAAAGGGCTAGTGCACTAATTTTGTGGAACCATATATATATATATTTTTTTTTCACACAAAACAAAATAAAATGTTTTATTTATTGTGATTTATCAGGGGGTGCTGCAGCACCCTCAGCATCCCTACTTCCCGCAGCTATGCCATCTTGGCTACCAGAGAGCATCTTGACATCCACAGGGTACAATGCTGTAATGATGACATCATCGAGAATAGAATAAATACATCAAGCAGGACACTGGACAGCTTCAGGCAATGGTTGTTATTCATTAAATCAAAGCAAATAGATTCTGGATGAATAGGCAATAGCAGGCGTAGCCAGTGTATCAAATCACACACTGTTAAGTACAGTATCATATGATGTGAAGGCAATGTCATGGAAAATAAAAAGTCTAGTATTTCTGCATTGAGATGTGCGCGGGAAAAGGGACTCACCGGAGCCGTGGAGATGGACGGGGGCCGATGCAGGGTCAGCAGAGCCATAGCAATGCACGGCTCGGTTCGCCTCGCAGGTTCTTCACAAGCGCCTTGCGAGACGCTGGGGGGAGGGGGGTTTCCTCAAATTTGTGGGTGAGGATATAATCACACAAATCTGTAACGTAGTTGGAGCTGATTATCAAATACCCGTTTCTAAAGCTACAGTATGCTCTGAAGACAACCTAGATAGTGGAGGAGACGTAAATTGACATTTGAAACGTAACTTTATAGCTAGAAATCACATTGAAGATAGCCATTGTAGTGGCATGCCAAGCATTCCTTCACAATGTCCACGTATGGTTATGAAATAAATGTGGACTGCACTGCGCTCGAGTGCACATCACACGCAACGATCCCCCCAAAAATAATATATATTTTGTAGTTACAATTAAACAATAGCTAGCTAACTAGCCGTGTCTGAAAAATACCAACATTTGAGAAGATAGAACATGGAGTCATATGGAAAACATCAATTCTGTTTGAAATGACTGTGCTATGTTGATCGACTACAAATCAACAAGCTTTGCTAACTAGCTAGTTAGCACGTACAGTAGATACGCAACTGATCCATATGCTAACTAGATAAAAAACAAGGGTGAAAGTGATAGAGAACGATGGAGCAAGAGTTCCTCTTTTACCTGCTTCCGATAAAATGCCTACTTATTTGGTATTTGGACGCTTCTCCCTCACACGCAGTCAGCTTCGATAGACAGCTATTTTTAATCCTTCGCTTTGGCAAAAGTTGCTCCACTCTGCTACCCAAATTAAAGAAGAGCTGACTATTTAATGGAACCAGGAAGAAAACATATCGGCAAGGAAAAGTAAACATGCCCTTACAAGGAGGGGCATGGAGGAATGGTTTTCTTAAAGGGGAAAGGAGAAGATTACTATAATATGGAATATCAAAATCTCTCTTAATATGATGTTGTTTTACTTTTGTAAATTATCTGCATCAATCCGGTTATTCTGGTTATTTATTTCTAGTGTAGGCTACTTTCCAGAAGCATATTGTTATATAACTGATGTAGGCCTTTACCTATATTGACATATTTCCAACTCATGATCTGTTGCTTGTACTACTGCACAAACAAGCAAGAACAGTGATGGATGCTTTTATTTATTCCATATTGATCATTTTATTATGATTATCTATTTATTAATTCATTTGACGTTGGATGTCCAGAAATCCGTGAAGGCAGTGAAACGACAGATAGGTCAACAACAAGGAATATCATCCTGACATTATGCAAAAACAAACATCAACAAGAAATCCACACAGAAATAGCTTTATGCTAAAGAAAAATGCAAGATCACATATGTGTGGACAGCCAAATTAGGAGTTTGTTATGGAAAATGACTGTAAATGCCTTGAGAATGTTTGGTTTGGCAATTGCAATCAGAAAACCATTGCGTTTTTAGACAATATTGCAGTAGTGTAAGGAGAAAAAAACAATTTGGTTTGCCAATTTGCCTGTAAGAAATATAGGCACAAATGTGACTGTTTTTGTCTGGAGCAAAGCATCTCTGTTTGGAATCGAAGGCAGGACTACGCATGCGCAATATTGTCTGACCCCTACACACTTCCTTGTTAAACAGTGTGCACACGTTGAAACGTTATTGTGAACACTAAACAATCCGCAAATTTAGCTGCATCTGTTGGGGGATTCGGGTCCTTATTTCAAGCAGTTCTTCTGACTTTTCTGTCCATCGGAAGACGCACACAGATCATGAAAGTTTTCATTACAAGACGCATCCCACAGGAGGGAATGAAGATTCTGTCACAGGCTGGAGTGTATGCAGGTTTCACTTTATAGTTAGCTATGATCAGCTTGGTTAGCTCGCCTAATGAGTATCTCATGCGCTGTCACTTGTCATCTATAATGCATGACTGTGTCATGCCAGTAGTGTTATAATTGTACTACTAAATTCTAGTGCTAGTCTACTTATTGCTGTATAAATGCATTGGCCACACACACACACACCACACACAAGAAGTGGAGGGTAACGTTACACCATGTTCTAAAAGTGAAAGTTCATTGGAGTTGCTTATGACCTTTATTCCAGGTCACATATTATAGCGGGTACTCTGAACTTGTAATAAGGTTCTTAAGGCGTTATTATAACACGTACAAATGTCTATGTAACATTTAGTGAAGGTAATGAGGTATAATAAAGATTAAAGGAAGGGTAAGGTAAGGGGGGGAAAACAGACCTTAAAAAATGCACACAGACAGACAATGCAGAATATGTGGAGAGTACTGTACAATGAAGGAAATGTTCTAAATTGTCTTGGTCCCTCATTTTAATCTGGTCTCTCCCCATCTCCCTCGTTTCCATGGAAGCAGATGTAAAGTGTCACTGTGGGACTCTGATGAGCCTGTTCCGAGGGCGGAGCTTCTGAAGGGCGTGGCGGGGGCCCATGGGCTGCTGTGCCTCCTGTCGGACAAGATCGACACTGAGGTTCTGGACGCAGCAGGTACACTGGACATAATCTGGACCACATTAACTCAGACAGCACCTCTCAGTATTTTCCAATATTATATATATTTAAGGTTTATTTTGAATTGTACACATTTGCAGCTAAAAGCTGAATTGCAGCATACATAGGCCTACGTAAGTAAGTAAATAAAAATATATTTATCTGGAATTTATGAGGCTGTTAGATATGTTTTATACAGTATATGTGTTGTATGATAGTTCCCATTCTGTCTTCTCCTAACACGTAACTATCGATTTGTGTTCAGGTCCAAACCTGAAGGTTATAAGTACCTTGTCTGTCGGATTTGACCACATGGCCATGGATGAGATCAAGAAACGGTAAGACTAACTATCAACTAGCTTGTACGCAGTGGTTGACTTGGGATGAAAGAGGTGCAGGAGCTGTCTTTTTCCAAATCTGTTCATTATACTATGTTCACAGAAATTCTCAAATTATATTATGATATAGAGGTCTCTGTTTATTCACTGTTAATCAATCAAATTTATAAAACCCTTTTTACATCAGCAGATGTCACAAAGTGCTATACAGAAACCCAGCTTAAAATCCCAAACAAGCAAGCAATGCAGATGTAGAAGCACGGTGGCTAGGTAAAACTCCCTAGAAAGGCAGGAACCTAGGAAGAAACCTAGAGAGGAACCAGGCTCTGAGGGGTGGCCAGTCCTCTTCTGGCTGTGTCGGGTGGAAGGGTTCATACACATTTGACAGATGGAATTTCATGACTTTTCCATGACTTCTCCATTACTTTTAACCAAATTTCCATGACCAATAATTGGTGGCGACTCTATGTAGCCTACATGAAAAAGTCAGCATAATTAAAGGCTTCTGGTCTCTGATCCCATGTAGGCCTACTATCTCCTGCCGTTTGTGCCCTTGATCAAGGTACTTAACCACCCACAAAGTAGAATAACTGCACTGTTAGGCTACTGTATAAAATGCATGTGGTCAACCCTCCATCTGGAGAGCTACTGGGTGTGCAGGCTTTTGATCCAGCCCTGAAACACACCCAAGTCTCCTTATCAAGTTCCTGTTGAGCAGCTGATGTTTAGGCTACAATTTAGAGCAGGGCTCGAACAAAAGCCTGCACAGCCAGTAGCTGTTGGACACCCTCAATATAAAATATTGCAACATTACAACCAAACACTTTTTTATGTTTTTATACAATTATTCCCTCATTCATTCCTTGAATCGGGGCTAAAACGGATAAGGTAGGCTACTTCAAAGCAAGGTAGCTCACTAAGACATGGTTATCTCTAATATTCATGTTTCAGGGGAGATCTATGCACAGCATCGAATGTGTCAATTAGGCTATTCTTAGAATATTGTTTGTGTTGTCGGAATTACATGGCTAGCCTACTGTTTAATAGAGGGGAATCCTAGCTTTCCAATAATGGTGTCAGATTTATTTCTCAACAGTGCCGGTGAAAAGGCAACAATGAGTCAACGACTTTAATTCTTAGGCATATAGCTAAATAGTTAACTAGAGAGATAACTAGCCATACTAGAAGCTATGTTTTGAATTGGCTATATAGTTAGTCTATCATTATTTTATAGGCTACTGGCTGCTGAAATGTCCCTCTCTGTCCTCGAGAAAACGGCCCACTCGCACTGGCACACATGCAGATTGTGCACAGCACACACAGAGAGACGCGCTGAAGGCTAGGCCTAATTCTGATCATGGCTGATATGTAGATTTTTAAGTGATTGATCATATATTTTAAAAGGAAAAATTACGTGACTTTTCCAGGATTTTCATGACCTTAAGAAACCTCATTTGACAACTTGGAACATCGCATCCTGCGCATTCAGGCTGGCACATTCTCAAACTCGAACAGTCTACTGGCATGAAGTGGAATCAGGATATGAATGCCCATTCTCCATTGCTATTCAATGCAGATCCCGCCTTCATTCCGCTTTGATCAATATTTTTTTGACCCTGTGAATCTGGGCCGGTGATAGGCCACTTTGTTTTATAGAGGAGCCGGTGAGCAGTTCCCCAGACAGCTCCGGCCCAATTCAAGCAATGAATGTTCGAACAAATGCCTTACTCTCACATCTAAGTCAGAAACTCTCCTTGTGCCCTCGTCTCCATGTTCTGTGCAGAGGGGTGCGTGTGGGCTACACTCCAGACGTCCTGACTGATGCCACAGCGGAGCTGACCGTCGCCCTGCTCCTGGCCACAGCTCGGCGGCTACCAGAGGGAGTGGTGGAGGTTAAGAAGTCAGTGCCCAATAAACACACAGATACATTTACTACGTCAGACTTCAGTTTCAGATGATCACTCTTGACATGTTGTACAGTGATACTTTAGGGATTTTCTGTCTACAATTAATATGAGCAAAACAGAATGTGTCCTCAGTTCCCTATTTTTAACTCTCTCTCTCTCTCAGTGGAGGCTGGAGCACCTGGAAACCTCTGTGGTTGTGTGGTTATGGTCTGTCAGGCAGCACTGTCGGTGTCATCGGACTGGGACGCATAGGTAGTGACAGTGATTGATTGATTGGCTTACTGGATTCTGTGACTCCTGGCCTTAGGTGTGAGGTCCATTCAATCCATACTGTAGCTGAAAGGGCTGGACAAAATTGCTTACTAATTGATTGATTGTCTGGAGTCAATGCTGTTTTCCCTCAGGGATGGCCATTGCCAGGAGGCTGAAACCGTTTGGAGTGAAGAGGCTCCTGTATTCTGGAAGAACTGCCAAATCCTATGCTGCTGAGGTGGAGGGAGAATACAGTGAGCTGGGGTGGAGGGGCTAGGGAAAACAGGAAAATATGAGCGAGAGGGTGAGAATCAGATGTTTATTTGGCTGTTTCTTCACCTTCCTCTCTCCTCCCCTCCTCTCTGTTGCAGTGCCCTTGGACACGCTGGTGTCTGAGAGTGATTTTGTCGTGGTGTCCTGCGCCCTCACACCAGAGACCCAGGGCCTGTGTAACAAGGACTTCTTCAGCAAGATGAAGAACACTGCTGTCTTCATCAACACCAGCAGGTACTCCATTAAACACGTAGAGCAGTGCCAAACAAACCACACTGACTGCGTTTTGAAATGAACACTGCTACAATCATTCAATGCTGTAAAAATAGAGCTGTGTGTGTGTGTTATAGGGGTGCAGTGGTAAATCAGGAGGATCTGTACCAGGCTCTGTCCAGTGGTCAGATAGCTTGTGCTGGGCTGGACGTCACAACCCCAGAACCGCTCCCCACCAACCACCCCCTCCTCACCCTCAACAACTGTGGTGAGTATATGGAGACACAGGGATGGAAGCCAGTTTACTGAGGCATCTCTGTTTTATTGTCTATGATTCGCCTCTAATCATTGTTGTGGTCTTTCCAGATGATTCAAAAATATATTTTTTTTTACACCTGCTCATTAAAATGAACCAGTTGCTTTTCCCCAGAGATTATCTATACTGAACAAAAATATAAACGCTACATGCGACAATTTCAAATATTGAACTGAGTTACAGTTTATATAAGGAAATCAGTCAATTGAAATAAATTAATTAGGCCCTAATCTATGGATTTCACATGACTGGGAATACAGATATGCATCTGTTGGTCACAGATACCCTTTTTAAAAATGGGCCTCACAATGGGCTTCAGGATCTCGTCACGGTATTTCTGTGCATTCAAATTGCCATCGATAAAATGCAATTGTGTTTGTTGTCCGTAGCTTATGCCTGCCCATACCATAACCCCACCGCCACCATGGGGCACTCTGTTCACAATGTTGACATCAGCAAACCGCTCGCCCACATGACGCCATACACGTGGTCTGCGGTTGAGAGGACTGTTGGACGTACTGCCAAATTCTCTAAAACAACGTTGAAGGCGGCTTATGGTAGAGAAATTAACATTAAATTATCTGGCAACAGCTCCAGTGGACATTCCTGCAGTCAGAGACATCTGTGGCATTGTGTTGTGTGATAAAACTGCACATTTTATTTTTATTTAACCTTTATTTAACTAGGCAAGTCAGTTAAGAACAAATTCTTATTTACAATGACGGCCTACACCGGCCAAACCCGGACGACGCTGGGCCAATTGTGCGCTGCCCTATGGGACTCACAATCACGTTCGGTTGTGATACAGCCTGGAATCGAACCAGGGTGTCTGTAGTGATGCCTCAAGCACTGAGATGTAGTGCCTTAGATCGCTGCGCCACTCGGGAGCCCAGAGTGGCCTTTTATTGTCCCCAGCACAAGGTGCACCTGTGAAATGATCGTCCTGTTTAATCAGCTTCTTGATATGCCACACCTGTTGGGTGGATGGATTATCTTGGCCAAGGAGAAATGCTCACTTACAGGGATAAACAAATTTGTGCACAACATGTGAGAAATAAGCTTTTTGTGCGTATCGAACATTTCTGGGATCTTTTATTTCAGCTCATGAAACATGGGACCAACACTTTACATGATGCGTTTATATTTTTGTTCAGTGTATGTTGTGCAATCCAATCATGTCCCTGCTAATACTTTTCTCTCCTCTCTCTCTCCACCTGCAGTGGTCTTGCCCCACATTGGCAGTGCTACCTACTCCACACGTGGCATCATGGCAGAGCTGGCCGCCAACAACCTGCTGGCAGGCCTACAGGACACAGACATGCCCAGCGAACTCAAATTCTAGTGCTGCTCTACAACTACTCAATTCTGCCTCGGTCCTCATATTAGAATGATTTTTTCATCACCCAATCAGTAGTCATTACCGGGGAAGGTAAAAGCCGTAAGTGACCTGGAAGGAATCTGTGTTGAGTATTGCAGTTCTATTAAAGGAAAGATTCACCCATTTTGAATGTTATATCATTTTTGTGCATCTCTGAGCGATGTTCTATCGATTCCCGGGGTAATTTCATGTTTTCATGTGTATCTGAACTATTCGCCGTTCAAGCATGCAGAAATACAGCCGGTATGATGTGTTTTGCATCATAGAATAGAGCCGGTATGACGGGTTTTGCATCATAGAATACAGCCGTATGATTGTTTGCATCATAGAATACAGCGGTATATGTGTTTTGCATCATAGAATACAGCCGGTATTATGTGTTTTGCATCATAGAATACAGCCGGTATGATGTGTTTTGCATCATAGAATACAGCCGGTATGATGTGTTTTGCATCATAGAATACAGCCGGTATGATGTGTTTTGCATCATAGAATACAGCCGGTATGATGTGTTTTGCATCATAGAATACAGCCGGTATGATGTGTTTTGCATCATAGAATACAGCCGGTATGATGTGTTTTGCATCATAGAATACAGCCGGTATGACGGGTTTTGCATCATAGAATACAGCCGGTATGACGGGTTTTGTATATGATGCAAAATTCATCCTACCGGCTGTATTTATGACTGCTTGAATGGCAAATAGATGCACAAAAACTATATAACATTCAAAATGGGTGAATCTTTCCTTTAACATGCTCTCCTAACATGAAGGTAAACTTCTGCCTCTTGCTCTTAGTGTTTATAAGAAATAACTAACTTATAAAATGTGACTTGAAAGAGGAAGTGTATAGCATTAGCGTTTTGAGAACATGCCTTAGTACACTAACAGTACTCCTAAGGGTCAGCCATGGCTTCCTTTTTAAAGACGTAGAAAAGCACTACAATGTCTCTGCACACACTTAATTAATTACAGTGGCCTTCTTGTTCTTATGAAACACTTTGTTCAATTGTACAAAACACTTGACTAAAATAGTAAAATAGTAGTTGTAATGGTAATGTTTTCTCTTGTTCTCATTCCAGTTGTGTTTGTTAACATATTGAGATATGGATCTCAGTTGTCTAGTTGTGCATAATTCTAAGAAACACTCTAATTAATTTGGTTTCAAATTCTATGGTAAAATTCTCCATCTGTAATCATTGTTTCAAACCAGCTGATCACTCCTGATTTTTCCCTCCCTCTAACACGGTCTGTCATTCTGGCTTTGTTGAATAAAGCTTTATGTTCAATGTAGAAATGTGTGAACATATTATTTCCCCCATAAGAAGAATTCTAGATCCATGCGTAAATTAATAATGAATACAGTTAGAATAGATCAGAAGACAGTAGTCAGGGATCAGTTTGGTTCCAAATTAGTTTCATTTTGATCACTCTTCAATAATGATCCTACTGAGAAATAGTGTGTGATGCATTGTAAAGATTATTTTAAAGAGTTCCATTCTCTCTGTTCTATGATGACAACACGTCACATTTCATGTAGTCATCTTCTAGACAATCTACAACATACTGTATGTGCTTTCTAAAATCACTAACACAGTCAACATTCGTTTTCACATCGATATTAAAGTGTCCAAAATTAAAGAGTGTCCAATATTAAAGTGTCTACTTAACAAGATTTAAAGCAATGACCAGACAAACATAACCCTGATGTGGCAGAACATTTTGAAATGGAAAATGTCAATGAGCTTTCTGACTGGTACCACTGGCTATGTTTCACAGCGTTTCCACCTGATCTCCCTGTCTCTCAGAGCAGCGTGGCAGCCACTGGCTATGTTTCACAGCGTTTCCACCTGATTTCCCTGTCTCTCAGAGCAGCGTGGCAGGCAGGTGGCTGATCTTCCAGCGTAGACAGGTGGTCTTAGAATGTTTGTACAAATGGGACGACTGACTGAAGCGTTTGCCACACTTGAGGCAGGCGTAGGGCTTCTCTCCTGTGTGGACCCTGATGTGTTTCTTACAGTCAGTCAGGTTCAGGAAGGTCTTACAGCAGATCCGGCAGGCGTATTTCCTCGCCCCCTCCACTACCAGGACATTGTGCTCCGTCAGGGCCTTCTTACACTTTGAAAGGACATCCTCTGATGCTCTGGTGAGGGCAGGACGAGGAGCAGTATCCCCCCCTGCTGGACCGGAGGAGGAGGAAGCATCCTGGGATCCGTCTATCTGGCCCTCAGAGTTGGGGTTCACTTTTGGGGCGATGCGACGGTAAGATGGCGGCCCTAAGCTACCCCCAACTCCGGTCATCTCAGCCCTGAATGATCGGGAGTGGGACGTGCTCAGACTGAGGCTGCCCAAGGTGCCTACATCTGGCCTGACGCCCCTCAAGAAGCCCCCCAGAACGTCCTGATTCTGGGTGGGCTGGAGGATGAATCCATCACTGAAACTGTGCCCCTCACTGCTGAGGAGCTGCTGGAAGGGGACAGAGGTTACTGGGAACATAAGGGAGGAAGAGGAAGCAGAGGAAGAGGAGGTGTTTGTTGCCTCTGAGTTTTGAAGTGACCTAACAGCCTCATTGCTTTCTGCCTGAGCTTCACTGATGGTGGTGTTAAGGAGACTGTCCTCTCCTAACGCCTCAAGCTGACTCCTGGGGTTGAGAATGCAGGAAAGGCCCAGGTCTTGGTTGCTGTCTAGGCCCTCATTATCAGACAACCAATCTCCTCCATCCGTGTTGTCTTGGAGTGGGTGTGTCGCTCTCTGTGGATTGGAGGTAGATTGGGGGTTGGATGAGCTTGGGTCATTTCCCTTCGGGCTGAGTATGTCTTTCTCATCATTTGCTGGCTCATCCTGATGATCACCAGTGTCCTCGGATGGGAATGGAGGATCACTGGACACACCTGGTGTGTCTGGATAGGAGGAGTTCACCTGCTCACTCTTCACAACTACATCCATCTTCTGATCCTCCTCTTCTTCTCCCACTTTCACTTTAAACACAATCCCTCCATCCACCAGAGAACCCTCTGTGTGATCCTCTCCCCCATCCTCCCGTGTCCCTCCCATGCTACTATCTGATTGGCTAGGCAGCTGTACCTCTTCTTGTAAAGTCCCTTCATACTTCTCCTCCTGCTTCTCTGCATCTTCCCTCTCCAGGCAGAGGCACTCGTCTGTCTTTAGGGAGTCAGGGGAGGGAAGCTCCTCCCCCCCATTACTCCTGGACACCCTTGGGTAGCCCTCCCTGTGATTCCCCTCAGACAGCCTGCACCCACTCTGCTTGCTGTTCAGCCTCTCCTCCTGAAACACTTGGGGAGAAGAGCTCTTGCGTTTGTGGTGACGCCGACCAGAGAAAGCTGCCAGTTGCTCCATGCTTCCACCCGCTCCAACCCCTCCGTCCCTGCCTCCAGCCTGGCTAGCATTCAACACAGTCTCGCCAACGTCGAGGCTACCTTCCAGGGCAGATGTGACCAGGCTGAGCCCCAGCTGCTGGAGCAGGACAGATCTCTGCTGCCTGGAGTTGACCCCAGCCATGGCTTCTGCCTGGGATGGAGACTGCCTCAGGTGCTGCTGGTCCACTGCATGGCTGAACCGCTGCTGCTGCACTGGCGACCTCCAACCACGCGGGGGCGATGTGGGGAAGCTGCGGGAGGTGAGGTGGTGCTTGCAGGCCTTGACCACAGTGTTGAGGTGCAGGTGGGAGGCAGCCAGGAGCACGTCCATTACGTTGGAGGCCCCCAGAGTGAGAGTGGAGGTGTAGATCATGTCCAGCAGGGCGGCGAAAGCCTCAGGAGTCACCACCTCTAGGTCCAGCTCCATCACACTGGCTCCTCCGCCATCCCCCTCCACTGCATTCAGAAGGGCCCTGAAGTGTGTACTGCAGGCTGCCAAGACAGAGCGGTGGGCCCTGAACTGTTGGCCCCCCACCACAATCACACAGTCACAGAGCTGACCACTGACACGCTGGTGGTTCAGCTGCTGGAAGATGTGCTCAAAGTGACCCGGGAAGTCCATCTCTGCCTGAGGATGAATATGAGGAATCGTCAAACTGAGTAATCAAGCTGACAAAAGAGTCAGTGAACTGATTTAATTTCTGATCATTCAATGCACTACACCCAGGCCAGTTTCCATACAATAGATTAAATGCTAGTAACAAAAACTATGATGCAAATGTAATGTCTATGGACTAATTTGACTGGTCTAAAGGTCTGACACTGTAGATCACTTTTATCCTTGCAAATATTAGTTACTAATTGTATAAAAAACAGAATTAAACCGGCATATCATCTTGCAGTGTCCCCATGCTCGTGCCTGGAATATAGATAACGGAATCTGGCTCGCGCTCGTTCAGTACCGCCCTCCTTTTACGTTTGTATCATTCGCTGAATGAATGAAGATGGCTCAGTTAGCTACATTCACTACCTAGCGAGCTACCCAAATTGTAACAAACCAGGCAACGCTAAAAAAACTACATTTGGTTTACTTTACCTGAAAATAGTCTTTAGCCTACAGAAGATGTGTAGGGTCACGGCAGTAAGCAGGGAGGGGGCGGGCCCAAACATATAATCTTAACAAAAACACGGAAGGACGCGGGGTCTCATCGGTCGTCACTAGTTACCACAGCTACAAAGTCATAAACCCTGCCCATTTCTACAATTAATCTTCTTAAAATGTGACTTTAAAGAGTAACTTTCATGAAGAAAAAAAAAATGAATAATCGAAAACCAGATGTTTAAGGCTTAATTATAGTGAAACACGTCAATTATGGTCTTCATTTCGACAGTTCGTTGCAAAAGTGATATATGTTGGTCTTTTTGTTGTAAATCTAGCTCTTTGTGCCCCTAGTGGTTCAACTCTACCATTGAAATCGTGACGTACAGGTGCCTCTACGTCAACTCAAGGGAAGGGTTCGGCATGAAATACACTCCCTTCTAGATCTGCTGGGTATCTGTGTGCTGCATGGTACCACCTCAAGGTTTACTATAAAAGCAGGCAGTGCTTGACTTTGGCCGGTGCTCACCAGAGCTGAGTACCAGCACCACACATGTTGTACTGCTTGGGCTCCTGTTCCTCTTAAAGAATATTAGCTCAAAAGTATTGTGGAGCTCCTGCACCTAAATGTAAACAGTACCTGCACCTATTTCAGTCCAAGTCAAGCACTGAAAGCATGACAGTAGGCCTTACCTGGTAATGGTCTTGGTAAGGAAGCGTGCCAATATACTGTATTTTGCATGATGCTTCCTTGACTAGACTACTGACATTACACAAAATTCAAAGGCAGTTAAGCACATTTCCTCATATGACCAAATTCAACGTTTTTGCTTACAGTTTCCGACACTTCTATGCTTTTACGAAGAAGAAAAAAACATGTAGGTTATGAGGATTATGCATTCATATTCATAGCTACATCCATCGCAAACGCAAGATTACAATAATGGTGATTTCAACTCTATATTTTCCACCAGCTACTACTGATTGGTGGCGCAGTCTTTGAAACAGTTGGCTCAATGGTTGTGAATTCTAATCCCACATTTGGCGAATATTATTATTTTCTCTCAAATCCTTTATTTACAATATTCATCCTGTGCCTACACACTTCTAATTCTGAAAAGTGAAAGCATACCTGTGAGATGAGTCGCCTGGTAGTAGTTGTAGGTTTCTATACAGAACTCAAGACCAATCTGTGAGTTAATTTGACCATTGGAAAAAGAGCTACTGCGTAAACACTGCAATGCACCCAATCTTCATTTTTAAGGTGATGATTGCACTTTTCTTCCTATCACAATACCGCAGTAAATGTGAGATTTTTTTGCAACCCGTGGGGTATTCGAATTTACAGTGGTAATAGACGTCAGGAACTCTGCATTTTACCACTGTAAACTAACCTAACTGTCCAGAGCCGTATTTGCTCATGATGCACATCATTTTATTATCAGAGCGTGGCGGTGGACTTCTGGTAAACTTTAAACTACGTTTACCCACTCCCAAAATGAATATTTATGAGTAATTCCCTCCCACCCACAACTTCTCACTTGAATGCATTTTTTATTTTTATTTGAAGGGGTTGGGCAAAGGCTGAAATTGAGGTTGAGAGTTACCCTTAAAACCTAACACTAACCTTAACCCTAACCACACTGCTAACCGTATGCCTAACCCTAACCCTAACCTTAAATTAAGACCAAAAAGCTATTTTTTGTTTTTATGAATTTTTACAATATAGCCAATGATGACTTTGTGGCTGTGCTATCTAGTGGAAACCGGTCTAATCTCAGTGGAAGGGGGAATTCGTGGTCTCGTCTCGCCGTCTGGCTGGTTTACTGGCTTAAACTGGTACGCTGTTCATTCGTGCATGCATCCCACCCGTCAATCATTATTAATATATCAGACAATATTATGCAACATTATCTGAATAAAGTAAAAAAAAAAGCATTTGAAATCGTCAACTTTATGATCAGAATGCTGATGTACTCCTCAAAAATAGGACAAGAGCGCCCCCATGTGGGATATTCAGGTAATGGATGACTGCTTTACTTCCGTACAATACGGAACAAAAATGTAAACGCAACATGCAACAATTTCAAAGATTTTACTGAGTTACACTTAACTGAAGGAAATCAGTCATAGGCCCACCCACTTGGGAGCCAGGTCCACCCACTGGGGAGCCTGGTCCAGCCAATCAGAATGAGTTTTTCCCCACAAAAGGGCTTTATTACATACAGAAATACTCAGTTTTTCTGTTACTGAGCACTAACCATAAACAAAAACAGAGGACATCTTGATAACTACAAATTACAACTACTTAGTGTTCAAGTGCTTTGGGGGACACAACGCAATGTCTTCATTGTAGCCTATAAATAAGTATTCCATATAGGATCCATATGATGGTGTTTAGCTCGCTGTTCCCCTGTCATCGTTATGTCCATAGTGCTTGTTGCAGTAAACTGAGTGTGGGAATACTGGAGCGGTAGATGGTCTCAAATGCTATCCAACTTCTTCAAGATATATGGAGCTGTGGGGGCAAAGCAGTAGTAAAACAACATTTTGTAACATTTACAGAGTAAATTATACATAAAAGTTAACTTTTGATTGAGGCATTGTTTTCAGTCAAACGTGCTATCGAAGACCCTGGGGATGCTATCTAGATTAATGCCCATTCATTTTCATGCATAGTAGGCTGCCGGTCAAAAGAGCGGAAACCTTTTTAGGGGTCACTACCTGCTGGATGATCTGTGGAGGGTCATGTCTAGCGATGTCATTGGTTCTGTGTACATTCTCTGGTCTGAGCACTGACCAGGTGAGTGACACATGCATTACACAATATATTGTGAGATAATATGTGCACCCCGAGAGGAATGCGAAGGCCGATACTTACTGGCTCTGAGAATGGCAATATAGATTAGGAAATTGCGCACGGACGAGATGACGTCCTGTCGCATCTTCATCTTCATTTCCTCTGGGTCCATTTTCGGCCCTAACCCCTCGAGTTTAAACATCTCGGCGTGGTCTGTGAAGGTTTTATACCCTACCCCTCAGCTGGTTGTGATTTTATGGCTGAGGTTTCCCTGCAAATTGGTGTTATGCTTGCTCTTTGGGTTGATTCTCATTACCTTCGTGCTTGATGGCGGAAACGTGACTGTTTAAACCGGAAATTACGCTTGAAGGATTACTGTGCGCAATGGCGGTAGAGGTACAAACTCTACGATAGGCGAAAGGCAAAGCTATACATATTTATTTATGAGGAATTTCTACTAACCCAAGACTTGCCAATTTATCTATATATAAGTCTGTCTAAAATATATATTTAGAGATGAATAACAATGTCAATAAAATGCAAACATTCTCTTTTATGTTTGTTTTGTATGATTGCTTATTAGGCAACAATATACTGTCATTCTAACTTGTTTACGATCTCTCTCTCTCCCCCCACACTAATAATAATACAGTAATATCATCTTTATTGAATGTGTTAATGTTAATGTTAATCATGATCTCCCTTGCCTTCAATCAAACTGACGTTGTGAGGGGGGTCTTCAAGGCAGACGGAGAGGGAGTGGACACTGATGAGGAGAGGCTGAAAAAATAAAGGGAGGAGAAGACGAAGGGAGGGGATGGGTTATTTCTGAGCTCAGGGCTGGGGATTAAGCGGCCGAGAGCAATCCCAATACGATGACAGCATCCAGCCTAAACCCCCACGCATCACACCGTCCGGGACACGGATTCTACCGATTCTGACAAACTATTCTGCCTGCTCTCTCTCTTCAGTCACTTAATTTTACCCTCCCGATCCACAACCCCGGTCCGTCTCTTTCTTTAGAACACGAGGTGAGTTCGTTTTTTCGTGATTTTATTATCCTCTTTATTGTCAAATCTGTCTGTGGACGGAGGCTGGAGGAGCCGGGGGGTATAGGTTTCTACGTGCACCTTGCATTGATTGCAGGAATCTGGTGCGATATTTTTCACATAGAAACAAAATATCGATTCTATTTGAAGGATTTGGACCTCATGCGGGTCCACGTGCCCCTGTTTCGGAGATGAGTAGAGAGATCTTAATCGGAGAGCGTCTGCTAAATGACTTAAATGTAAATGATTAAGACTATCGTACAAAAGACTGACACATTTTTTCTTTGTTTACGGGCTAATCTGGCAGGACTGCTGTTACCGATTATATCTCGGGTCAGTGTTGGTCCTGGAGGGTGAACTATGAAATATGAACACAGCATAATACACAGATATATCTGAGTTATAACACATTTACATATTTTATTTCGACGTAGAGAAAATTGCAAATTAATTAGGGGGAAAACTATTGCGCGATGCGCTATTGTTATACTATTCTGTATTTCGTTTTATTGCATGCTGAGCAGCGCACTGTTACCCCATGCATTTGTGGCTATGGTCGTAGTTATTTTTGTCATTCATTCATACCCATCCTCATCCACCTAGGATACTCAACACATGCATTTTGCATGGCCAAAACGCAGCCAATGGAATTCTGTGCAGCATAACATTTGTGTCACTTAATTCAAATGGTTAGAGAGTAGAAATTGAATGAGAGTAGTAGATCCAGCTCTGATGACAGGTGTCTGTAGTGGTGGTGTAAAACGCCTTTATACTAAATGGCCAATGTCTTGTTGTTATCAATGGGCGTCGACGAGGTGTGGAGAGAGACAGATTCAGCCTTTTTCCTCACGCGCGTCTCCATAGGTTTGTGAAAATGATACGTTCATTCTGTTTTAGATGCCGTGCCAAGCAAGAAGAGCTCAACACAACAATGCGTTTTGCCTTTCTGGGTCTTTTATTTCATTCATGACATGATTTAATATGACCACTGATTATGATTATATATAGGCCAGACATGTGCTGTACCTAAAATGTACATGCTGCCCATGAGAGTATGTATTTAATGTCACAGAAAATTATCACTGACTATGTTCACAAATAAATATGTAGGACTACCGACATTCCTAAACACCCACTCACTGACACACACATAGCCCACATCATCTCACACATGGACGGTTGTCGCTCTGGTCTTGTGCTGCCCTATGGGCGTGACTGCTCAATGAGTATGTTTGACTGTGTGTGATTGTGTGTGTGATTGTGCGCATGCGAGACCATCTGTGTGTGAAGGCACGTGCCCAGATAGAGCCCTAGGTGTGCTGGAGCACCTGTCCCTTTGCCCTCCTATGAAAAAAGTGCCCTTTTGATTAGCGGCGTTTTTTTTTTTTTTTTACAACTAATTACCATTTATGACATTTTTAGTGTCTTTTCTCTCATGTAACTTTTTTTCAGTTTGAGCACCTGCCCCACCAACGCTCTGTGCACAGCCCTGCGTGTGTGGGATTGTGAGTGTGCACACTTGGTTGTATGAGCATAAGTGTGTGTGTGTGTGTGTTGCCTGTGCTGCTATGCCAATGCTGCAGGCGGTGTGCATTATGACTCAGGGTCAGGGATGTATGGTAGAACATGTGATGGAACTGTTGCTCTAAGTTCACCCAGCCACCAGAGCTGTTGCTCTGAGTTCACCCTGCCACCAGAGCTGTTGCTCTGAGTTCACCCTGCCACCAGAGCTGTTGCTCTGAGTTCACCCAGCCACCAGAGAAATGCAAGAGGAATGGCAGGACTTGCACATCAGGAAAGACTTGCTGTCTCCCTGCCTGCTTAACTGACTGCCTGCCTCCATGCCGAACTGCCTGTCTACCAAACGGCCTGTCTGTCTGCCTGCCTGTCTATCTGCCTACTTGCCTACTTGCCTACTTGCCTACTTGCCTACTTGCCTGTCTCCCTGCCTAACTGCCTCCCTCTCTTCCTGCCTACCTACTTGCCTGTCTGTCTATCTGTTTACTTTACTTACCTGCCTGCCTGCCTCACTGCCCAACTGCCTCCCTTTCTTCCTGCCTGCCTGTCTGTCTGTCTGTCTGTCTGCCTAACTGCCTGCCTGTCTATCTGACTCCCTGCCTGCCTGTCTGCCTGTCTGTCTGCCTGCCTGCCTCCCTGCCTAACTGCCTGCCTGCCTGCCTGCCTGACTATCTGTCTGTCTGTCTGACGGTCTGCCTAACTGTCTGCCTGCCTCACTGAGTGTTCTTACTGCTCTCTCTTACCCTGGAGCCTCCACATCTAAAATGACAGCCTATTCCCTACATAGGACACTACTTTTGACCTGAGCCATATGGGCTAGGGGTCAAACGCAGTGCACTATGTGGGGAATAGGGTGTAATTTCATTTTTGTCCCTTGTTGTCTCTAGGGCAGTTTGAGTTGTGTGCTGGTCAATCAATCACATGCATTTTATATCGCCCATTTCACAACAGCCGTTGTCACAAAGTGCTATACATATACAGTTGAAGTCTGAAGTTTACATACACTTAGGTTGGAGTCATTAAAACTCATTTTTCAACCACTACACACATTTCTTGTTAACAAACTATAGTTTTGGCAAGTCGGTTAGGACATTTTTCCAACAATTGTTTACAGACAGATTATTTCACTTATAATTCACTGCATCACAATTCCAATGGGTCAGAAGTTTACATACACTAAGTTGACGGTGCCTTTAAACAGCTTGGAAAATTCCAGAAAATGATTTCATGGCTTTAGAAGCTTCTGATAGGCTAATTGACATAATTTGAGTCAATTGGAGGTGTACCTGTGGATGTATTTCAAGGCCTACCTTCAAACTCAGTGCGTCTTTGCATGACATCATGGGAAAATCAAAGGAAATCAGCCAAGACCTCAGAATTTTTTTTGTAGACCTCCACAAGTCTGGTTCATCCTTGGGAGCAATTTCCAAACGCCTGAAGGTACCACGTTCATCTGTACAACCAATAGTACGCAAGTATAAACACCATGGGACCACGCAGCTGTCATACCGCTCAGGAAGGAGACGCGTTCTGTCTCCTGGAGATGAACGTACTTTGGTGCGAAAAGTGCAAATCAATCCCAGTACAAGAGCAAAAGACCTTGTGAAGATGCTGGAGGAAACAGGTACAAAACTATCTATATCCACAGTAAAACGAGTCCTATATCGACATAACCTGAAAGGCTGCTCAGTAAGGAAGATGCCACTGCTCCAAAACCACCATAAAAAAGCCAGACTACGGTTTGCAACTGCACATGGGGACAAAGATCGTACTTTCTGGAGAAATGTCCTCTGGTCTGATGAAACAAAAATATAACTGTTTGGCCATAGTGACCATCATTATGACATCTCAAGACATCAGTCAGGAAGTTAAAGCTGGGTCGCAAATGGGTCTTCCAAATGGACAATGACCCCAAGCATACTTCCAAAGTTGTGGCAAAATGGCTTAAGGAGAACAAAGTCAAGGTATTGGAGTGGCCATCACAAAGCCCTGACCTCAATCCTATAGAACGTTTGTGGGCAGAACTGAAAAAACGTGTGCGAGCAAGGAGGCCTACAAACCTGACTCAGTTGCACCAGCTCTGTCAGGAGGAATGGGTCAAAATTCACCCAACTTATTGTGGGAAGCTTGTGGAAGGCTACCCGAAACGTTTGACCCAAGTTAAACAATTTAAAGGCAATACTACCAAATACTAATTGAGTGTATGTAAACTTCTGACCCACTGGGAATGTGATGAAAGAAATAAAAGCTGAAATAAATAATTCTCTCTACTATTATTCTGGTATTTCACATTCTTAAAATAAAGTGGTGATCCTAATTGACCTAAGACAGGGATTTTTTACTAGGATTAAATGTCAGGAATTGTGAAAAACTGAGTTTAAATGTATTTCGCTAAGGTGTATGTAAACTTCTGACTTCAACTGTACCCAGCCTAAAACCCCAAACAGCAAGCAATGCAGATGTAGAAGCACTGTGGCTAGGAAAAACTCCCTAGACAGGCAGGAACCTAGGAAGAAACCTAGAGAGGAACCAGGCTCTGAGGGGTGGCCAGTCCTCCTCTGGCTGTGCCGGGTGGAGATTATAGGAGTACATGGACATTTGGCCAGATTGTTCTTTTAAGACGTTTAAACGTTCA